TGTAGAATCAGTACTGAAAGTATTGTCGAAGGGTTCATGTGCACTTTAAACTCTTGTCAATTGAAGGGGCAAGTGCAAGTGCTGGTGAAGACCTAAATTATCCCTATTCTAATTAGTTAAAAGCTTTAATGTAGTGCAGGGCTTAAAAAATGTCTGTCATTGGATGATATCTGGCTAGAATACACCAGTTTCTCATTCGATGCATACCACTGTTTTTGAAGACCACAGATTCATTTGCAAAGGCTTAGCCTCCTTTATAAGACAACTATTCATACAGTAGGTACCATTAAAAGTCTGTGAGATTAAAAAAACATTTGTGTTGTTCAAGCTGCACATTTTTTACATTACAGTTGACTTTCACAAATGTTTTGCTCTTAAGGTGGCTGGACCCCCTCACGCTTGACCGCTACCTCCCACATTTGAATTAAAAAAAACAACTGTTTATTACCATACTTCCGGGGTAAATTGGAAAGAAGCCAAGCGAGATGAGACTGTGCATGGTGGGAAAGAATTTGATGTTATGATCATTAGCAAACAATAGAATTCCCAGAGCATCAAATCATTGGGAAACGATCTGCAATGTTTCTGTATTTCTCGTTGGCTTTAGATCATTTTAAATGAGTTCAATAGTCTCGCAATTTTGGGTATTATTAGCTAGATAGATTTGTTCAAAAATCCTTACAAATGGAGGCATCTAGTATGTAATCATGTGGTATGAAGCATTTTAGTGTTGAACACTCTGCAAGGCAAAAATTGTTCTCCAAACGAAAACAAATATTTCATCATAATCACGTGTTATGACGTCCGATCTCGTTAAAAACTGCATCAAGCATTAATTCAATCGAATAAAACACATGTATGCACCAGCGTTCCAAATGTGGAAGGTAGCGGTCAAGCGTGAGGGGGTCCAGCCACCTTAAGTAAGGCTAAGCCTATGCAGATGAGTCTTTGTCATAACACACAGTGGTATTTACCGAACAAGAAAAGGGACTGACAACTGACCAACAATTATTATTAGCCTTGGTAGTAGAGCACTTACCCCTTTATGTCTGAGTTTTACAAAGATATACAACACTCAAATCAGGTTTGTTATTTATCAATAACAACTGACACAATGAACCTTGTCATTATAGACCTGACACACAAGTTGTACCAGCCCATACCCAACAATTATTAGTCCTTTTATGTTCCAAATTCACATTAACAAATCCTTTTTTCAAATAGTAATTACATTGTAAGAATGCAGACATGATAATTATTTTGACTCAGAAAAAAAGAGATGTTCTTTGATACGGTTGAAAATTTGAAATGCTTATCAAATGACCTGTTAGATAATGGAATGTGTTTCGACCAGCTTTATCACTGGGAATTGGAAGATGATTCAAAACTAGACACATAACTAGCAAAGTCCACAGTTTGTTCTTCTGCTTTCTTGATAAATGGATGGCTCTGAAAACAAAACAAAAACATGAAGTAATCAATGTATCATTAGCGAAAGTCAATAGTATGGTATAGTATGGCATAACATGTGGTGGCTTGATATTATATGCATGATATATGGCATGGCATCAGGTGTGCTACAGCAGTGCCATGGTGTATGGAATGGAATGGTGTGCTACACCATGGTATATACTATAGTATGGCATAGTGTATAGCAGTGCCATGGCGTATGGAATGAAATGGTGTGCTACACAATGGTATATACTACAGTATGGCATAGTGTGCAGCAGTGCCATGGTGTATGGAATGGAATGGTGTGCTATAGCATGGTATATAGTATAGTATGGCTTAGTGTATAGCAGTGCCATGGTGTATGGAATGGAATGGTATGCTATAGCATGGTATATACTATAGTATGGCACAGTGTGCAGCAGTGCCATTGTGTAACGAATGGAATGGTGTGCTACACCATGGTATATACTAAAGTATGGCATGGTGCATGGCCTAACCCATGATCAAATGTACATTTCAAGTGATATGGAAATGGAGTGTAGTGAATGGTGTCAGTAACAAGTAAACATTCTTACCATCAGATATTTCAGGTCTGCTCTCTCTTTTGGATTCTTAACAAGACTGTTAAAAAGAATACTCTTTTTATTATACTAAATTGTGTAAGTATGGTAATAATAATGCAGAACAACAAAGGAATAATAAACCTATTTCTTACCATTTGTGAACAAATTCACAGAATTGTTCAGAGAAGTATTGTGTTGGTAGTCTTGGCGGAGGCTGTGACAAATGAAAGAGAAATATTGAATTAAAAGAGATTATAATAAACCCCATGTTATTTTACATTGCTGCTTGAGGTCAATATTTTCATTTTATAATAACAATTGCATGTGTTTTCTGAAAAAAAAAAATTTTAAATGGCAGTAAGACTATTACCTAACATTTAAAAAAACTAGGCCATCTTCTTCAAATAGAAATATTACCTCATTAACGATGTAATCCAACAGTTCAAATATGGCCATAGGCCTTACTCCATCATTTGCTCCACTAGGTGGCCTTACGCCAGGAGGTAATCGATTAGAAGTCATATTTGATGACGATGCTATACTACGAGGATCCATACTAAACAACTTATCTATTTCTTTGGGATCTGGTGGAGGTATAGGATATCTACCAATGCCCATTTCAACAAGAGAAAGCCCAAAACTCCAGATATCTGAAAGCACTGAGTAGTTGGAGCCTTGTAGTCGCTCAGGCTGGGGAAAAGAGAGAACAATTGGGTTCATTATTAGTTTAAAAGACTTTAAGATGGTGATACTAATGACTTACAATTTTACAACCATGCATTATTCCCCATCATGACTCTTCCAGGATGTCTGCTCTGCGCACACAACCACTACATTCAATATACGACACATATCATAAAGGTCTGATATTTACTTGCATGTTTTTATCTTTTTATGTCAGATCAATATATGGCGATCCATTTGAAAAAGTATTGTTCTGGACTGAATAGACTCTACTCATACATGTGAAGACTCTTTTATGTTTCACATGAGGCTAGTCATCCAGAAAAGTACTTAAATTCAAATTGGTCGCCATATTTGGATTCAGTGTAAGGAGGGAGAGATATGGTATACTGGAGGATCCACAGAAAACAATTGTGGCAAGGAAGAGAACAGTGCATTAAACATACTCAACTCAGTTCAAGGGTGTGACCCCCAGGGATGAACTTCTAAAAATCAACTTCTAAATTCTAACTCGATCTTTGGGCTTTCACTTAGTTTGGAGCCTAGCTCTATTGTGATTGTCCCACGCTGTGATACAACAGCGAAAAGCTTTGTAGATTTTAGATTTTAACTAACACAGTAATGAGAGACAATGGCATAAAAGCAAATGCAACTCATGCCAATATCATAAAAACTAGGGAGTACATTTTCTCCATGGATTCACCAGTTCCGTACGTCTGTCAATGATATACCAAGACTATGGAATCCATGGAAGACTGACCTAAAGCATGGATCAACTTCAAACCAAAACTAGTGTATAGTTGATTTCATTTAAGATGGGATACTTACCGACATGTATGATCTGGTACCCACAAAAGAATTGGCCATTGAGTCAATAAGTTGACCACTTACACCAAAGTCACACATTTTAATTTCACCTCTTGTGTTAACAAGTATATTAGATGGTTTAACATCGCGGTGAATAATCTGGTGGATTTCACGGAGGTAATTAAGACCTTTAAGCACCTACCAAAGGATAAAATAAAATTATAAAACTTTTTAAATGGCATTTATCAAAGCTTACTGGATTATGCAGAAAGGTCTTAGAGAACCCTTTTTTCAGTGTTTGAAATTATACTACTTTTTCAGGGCTGAATGGAAAATTTAAAATCCCATGACTTTCCATGTCTATGCCAACCCTATTTTTATTCAATACAAAACAACTAATAATTGGAGTGTATAACCAGGTTATTAAAAGAATTATGAAATAATTTGGTATACTTACTGCAATACTAATTTTTCCCAAAATTTCCTCCTCAATTCTACCAGCTTTCTTCAAGATTTGGTCTAGAGACCCTCCATCCTGTATGTGAGAATATGGACAAGAAGTAATCATTAGCAGGCTTGTTATTGATGAATATAACCTTGTTATAAATTTATGATCTTATTTGTGTAGTAAAAGAATATATGTTCTATATTTGCTTAGGATGGTTTGAATCGAAGATATAACTTGTTTCACACTTTTACAAAATTAAAGCATTTATTCAATAAACTTGATTTCAAATGAAATGATTACGAAATAATCTTGTGTTAAATGGAATTAAATTTTCTAGGGGAGAAAATGAAACTAAGTAAATGGAATGGGGAAAATTTCTTTAATCTTAAACATTTTAGAATGATACATCAAAAATCATTGAGCTATTAATGTGATTTTAGTCGAATAAATCAAGATAATGCATCTCTTGACACAATATATGTAATTACATTAAACCCAAACTGTATATCATTCCATTTTGTTATTCAAGGAGAGAATTTTGCAAGACAATCAAGAAAAGACCTAAAATGGTATGCCAAGCATATTAGTTTAACGATGAAACCTTTGGAAATATCAGCTTGGTTTAGAAATGAAGGGTTAATGCAATAAAAATGCAAATAGAATATAATATATTGGAGAAACACTACGTTGGATCCTGTATAGCATTAGCTATATCTCAGTGAATATGACTGTGTGTTATTCAAAAATAAATTAAAATGTGATTAGGAATAAAAATACAAGTAGCAATGATTGTGTTAATAAAATATTACAGTAAAAGACAAGAAAATAGAAAAAACTTGAGAACCATCTAATTATAAAAACCAAATTTATTCATAAATAGAATCCCAGAAATATGTAAATAGCAGAGCAGTTTTGAATAAAACACTCCAGACTACTGATCTATTTAAATAGAACGCGAAAAATTACAAAAATACACATCCTTGGGATAGCTTAGCACTTACAAAGAAAAAAATTGTCAAAGATCTCGCATAGGCAAATGTAGAGAGATAATGTACTTCAATAACAACGAACAGTACAACTAGGAATATTTAATGTATATAATTCATTCTATTCTTTTTAAGAATCAGAGCAGGGAGGCACGTAGAGCTTATCGTGCTTGCAAGAAGAATACGAGTTTGGGGGGAAGATTTCCGGTAGAAACCGAGTTGTGAAGTAGTAGCGATTCGTATAGAGTGATAGTAGTTCCAATATATATATTTTAAGTAGTTAGTGGAAGTAATTTTTGCTTGACTATGTTTTGTAAAGAATAATATTCCCATGGATATTTTATATTAGGAATGAAATTCTAAGTTAGAAGTTTGTATGGATAAAATGTAAAAACCCGTTGCATGGATGATTGCAACGTGGGGGAGAGGGGAATGACAGTGGTGAATAATTGATACACATTCCTGTTTTGAGATGATAGTTTTGACGAATGCGTTTTGCTTTTATTTGGAGAAAGAGATAAATTGAAGTTTTCAGCGTGACAACGAAATGAACATAATTCAGTGCAATGTACAATATCAACATTTGAAATTTACATGTAATGAAATGGTAACCCTTTTCGACTTACTAACCATGTGCTCCATACAGATAGAAATTTCACCATCGCTGTAAAAAGCTCCATAAAAGCCAACAATGTAAGGAGAATTACATTCATGCAAGACCTTAAGCTCTCTGATAATTTGGTTTCGTATTGCTGGCTTGATTTCCAAGTGAATCAACTGCAAGAAACAAAGGAATAAATAGCATAAAATACGATGGAAATTACATCAAGATGAGCACACAATTGTGCGACAAGAGCAGCTAGCAAAAACTGCTTATTATAATCGAGGTCGTGCCATCCATAACGTCAGAATACTAGCTTAGAATTTCAATAATAACCAAACGACTAGAATATTCTCAAATGTTACTATTTTCTTACTTTTCTAGCCATAATAAGGCCACTAGGTTTATGCAAGACCTTTGTGACTACACCGCCATTCCCTGCTCCAAGCTCGTCAATCTTTTCGAAATCATCGTTATAAAGTTCTCCTATTTTCATCTTTTCATTTAAAAACTCTTCGATTCTCTTGCGCTGTAATCCATGCAGCCCCAAGTCATCTAGTTTCTTACGGACATCTTCTACCTTTTGCAAATCTATAGTATTTTCGTCGGTCCTGCAAAACAGCGACAAACGATCACAAGGTCTTTGAGTTTGAAGGTATAATGGAGTGTGCAAATCAAACATTTGGAGGAAAAACCAAGCATAGAAATGAAAGAATTGAGTACTTACGGTTGGGGTGGTGGAGGAGCTGCCGATGCTTGGCAAGCAATCGTTAAATTCGGTCTTTTCTTCATTGCAACAAATACATTAACCAAGGACTCGTTCGAAATATTTACGACTGGAACAGCCCTACAGCCATTCTCGAGTCCGCACGAAACCTTAGCAAATCTGCACCATGCAGATGTCTTACAGTGTCTGCATACAGCTAAGCTAGTAGAAATCGTTCAGAGAGTAGCATACAGACAAGAAATCTCCCAACAGACTCTTCGATATTTGTCACAAGTGAAACAACTCAACATGCGTTTGGATCTGTTCGATGTGAGGAGACACTAGCTAAACACTGATTACTATGTATTACCAGACTAGTCCCAGGCCGTGCGCGCCCTTAATCGATACATAGACCAACCACGCCTTTGCGCGCCTTGATGCGCACCCATATCCGCGTGGGCCGATTATAAATATGACTAAACATTCTGGGAGTTTACCAACATTAACATAAGAAACTTGTCATCAAATATTCGATAATTTCTCGTAATCTAATTTTCGATTGAGTCCTAAGATAGATTCATACGCGACAGTACTGATCGTATTCATACTTGGGGCGTCGCTAAACTATCGCCAGTCGTAATAGAACAAAAATAAAAATTCAAAATAATAATAGTACTTAAAAACAATTCATAAAAAGGTGAAAATGCTCAAGCTTGTGATCTAAATTTATCTCGCTTCCTTTCCTACGCGATAGATGTATTTATTTTTAATTCCTTAATTCCTTGTCTTCCTGAAACTGTTCACTAATCTTAAAAATAGTAATCTCTTAACTTCTGAGGCGCTTTGGCACTTTCTTTCCTATTAATTGGACGTCATTCTATCATTTGACCAGGATCAAGTTGCCTTCTAGATGCATGTCTTCTTATTCCAAAATAGATATTTTTTACCGGAAAAATAGAAAAAAAAAAAAAAAATCATGGCGCGCGTCTAAATTTGGTATGTTGTAACTGGAAGCTGACATCCTGGGTTACGCCTAAAAAAATATTGATGATGATTGGTGATTCTGCCAGTCTCGGACAGCAAGAAAATGAGATTTATTAACCGGAAACAAATATCATAAGCTTACTGGAAAAAAATAGCAGCAAAAATAACGTTAGAAATGGTCTGAAATATCCTACCGTCCCCGGCTTTTGCGGTATTTCGGTATTTCCAGGGGAAGAAAGATCCATGATCACATTTCGCTACTTGTGGACCCTTGGGAAGCAAACCTTTATCATTATGATCACTAACAAATGAACAGTAGATTAGAATATCGACAAAATGTATATAGTTGAGTTTATCTACATAGCGATAACGACGAAGCACCAGACAATCAAAAAAAATACTGTACAATGATAGCAAAACAGCAGTTTAGTTTTAAACAACCTAGAGGCTGCATAGCTCTTAAACAAGTAATTAAAAAAATATATAGTTTAATAGATAGATATAGGTAGATATAAAATTTTTGAAATATGAAAAAATAAATTTATATAATAAATTTCTATAGTCAAGCTATCGACTTTTGCAATGCCAATAAACAATAAAAAAAACCTGTTTTTAATGGCTTAAAGAACAAAAGTAAAAAGCTTATCACAATCAAGTGTTAAGCAACTATCTACGGGTGTAATTTGAATGCTACAACTTCCGTTTATGTTGTTTTTAAACACAGAAAAACACTAGGTTGGTAGATAATTTAATTACGGAAATACAACTTTTCAAACGGTTAGTTTTCGTTTTCAGTTGTGCCCTGAAACGGCAAATAACTATTGATGTCCAAACTGACGCTGCTAAAGGAAATTATACACCTACTTTCTTTTTAATATTTTGTCTACATTTTTTAGAAATTTTGACTTCAAAGTCAAGTACAAATAAGATTTTGAAAAGATAAAAAAGACTAATCGTATAATTTTTGTCGATATTTGTTTTCGCGCGCTTTTGTTTATGGCGGGTTGTGAATATTGTTCTTCCGTCCAAGATGGGGAAAAAGGTCCAAACAACCATTTGAAATCCATTAGTACAATTATATAAATCAATGACACTTGAGTGACAATGCATGAAAATATATAACAGTTTATTGCTACAAGTTGAGTGGAAAAAGTTTAGTGTCGATAAGTGAAAATATGTTTCTCATCCTCAACAGTTCGTGAAGTCGCCAGTTTTTGTTGTTTTTGTTCGGTTTAATTTCGCTAAATTTTCTACATCGTACGCTTTCAAATCAAGTCAGAATTATGGTCAAAAGCTTGCTAAGATATCCATAAATGAATTATTGAGTAAAATAAAGACTTTTTTGCCGGATAATGAGTGTTTTTGACGGAAAAAGTAAAAGCTGACAAAACTTTTTACTCAAAAAGTATTTTGAATTTTAACACTTTCTTGAGTAAAGTTATAAGGAATAAAGGAAAATTAATATCCAAGTAAAACTTCGATGTACATTCAAGCACTTCGCCCACTTACCTCGGCAATTATAGGTGCATTTTTGATGGAAAAGGTCCCAATGTTTGACCAACAAACACAAAGAGCACAGCAACATGGCGGGTTCTTGCTGAAAAAGAACTGCGCTCTCGGGCGTCCGTGTGTGATGTATAAAATCAAAACGCGCGCTTCCGTTGAACATTCTCTTCTTGTATATCAGAAGTGATTATCGATATCTGTTTGCTTGTTTTACAACTTTAACATGTCTGCAAGTCCTAAGAAAGCACGTTCTCGTTCAAGATCCAGATCCAGATCAAGGTCAAGATCTAGATCGAAGTCAAGAAGCCCAAGTCCTGGTGCAAGGAAAGCGGCTCGACCAAAGAGCGCCAGACCAAAGGCAAAAAGAGCAGCCAAGTCAGCTAAACCTTCTGCACATCCTACATATCAAGATATGATTAAAGCAGCCATCGTTGCACTGAAAGAACGAGGAGGATCTTCCCGTCAAGCTATCCAGAAATACATTAAGGCTAACTACAGGGGTGTTGGCGATCCAGGACCACACCTGAGAATGGCTCTAAAGAGAGGAGTTGCTGCTGGATTACTTGTGCAGTCAAAAGGAAAGGGTGCATCTGGTTCGTTCAAGCTCGGACCCAAAGCCTTGGCTAGAACAGAAAAGAAAAAGAAGAAGAAGAAGGCCGCTAAACCCAAAAAGAAGACAACACCTAAGAAGAAGAAGAAAGCGAAGAAGACGGCGGCAAAGAAATCTACTCCCAAAAAGAAGAAAGCTGCAAAGAAAGCCAAATCCCCAAAGAAAACTAAAAAGCCCAAGAGTAAAGCAAGATCCAAGTCACCAAAGGAAGTAAAGAGAGCTACAAAGAAGAAGAGTCCAGCCAAAAGAAGACCTGCAAAGAAAGCAGCCAAGAAAAAAGCGTAGAACGTCTAGAAAAGAACACAAAACGGCTTCTTTAGAAGCCACCCAAATACGAGAAAAGGTTATGATAAAAATGCTTATAAAGAATATATGTTTTTAGAAAAGAAAAAAGAAAAAAAAAACCTAAAAAAGAAAAAAAAAAAAAAAAGAAAGAAAGAAATAAAGAATTTGATCGAAAGTATATATCTTGTCCGCGACTTTTTTGTTGCTTTTCGGTGAAAAAACGACACAGGTATCCCACACTCACAGTAAAAAATACTCACCAACACAGGTAGCCCAGCCGTTCGTCCCAGGCTCTTCTGAAGTGTTTTTCAAAATGGCGGAATCAATCAGTTTCTTTTTGAGAAAGAAATCGAATATTTAGATGAGTATGTAAAATATGAGTACTAGGAAAACAATCCCAAAACATAAACAGCATGTTGCCTCAGAGAGATCCATCAAATCATCAGGTGTAGTAAGTAAAGGGTCAGTCTTTTTTTAAATTGGATTTGAATAAAATCTTATTTACTGGACGATGTTTACATATTTAGCACTCTGCAGACAGACTATTCTCTTCGACCCCAGAAAGCAGTAAAACAACCCCTCCCGACAGAAAAACTGGTAATAGAAGCACTCTGTGTGATTGGGTTGAGCAGAAAGAACTGCCAAACACAAGCAAAATACAGAACAAACAGATGAAAAGGGATATAAAGGTATAGCACTGAGAAAGTAGTGGAGGAGAGGAGTAGAGTGGGAGAGGGGATGATTACCCAAGGGACCTGACATACCCAGGCTTGTCATCCATGGGGAACTTACAGTTCATGCAATCCAGTTAATGCATAGTTATTTTACTTTAACATCTGTCTCAATTTCAGTTACTCCAAGAAGAAAATGAAGAGTTGAAAGCAGAACTAACATATATCAAGTATGTGTTCATGGTTTGAGACAGCTGTTCTAGTATGTACAAATTTGGAACATTTCTTGTTCTTCTTCTAGATCTTTGTACAAGCAACTTATAGAAGAACTACCAAATGAAAGATTTGATGAGAGAAGAGTCAATCTGCTCAAATCACAAGTCATTCAGCTAGAGAGACAGGTTCACTTGTTTTGTCTATATTTGATATGTTAGATGGTGTGATGAATTGGTGTAAACATTATATTTTATTCTATTACCAGGTCACTTTGCAATCTTGGGCCCTTAACCTAAGAACAGATGTCCTCATAGAAATTGAGGGTCAACTTCTTAATGTTATAGATTGTTTAAGGTATAGCAAGAATTGGCATATATCATGGCATTTGTAAAGTACCATTATTTTATTTTAACTTATCCTTTCTACAACAGATCTATGCAGACACCTGATGTTACAACTTACAGCAAAATCTCAGATCTGTTGTGCACTGTTGAAGGGATTCGTCATTATCTTTCCAAGACTATAGAAGTATGCATACCTATATGCATGCATGGTTGCAATGTAGTCCAGACACTGTCCCATCCTTTGTTTGGTCAGGCAGCCCAACAAAAGTGGAGCATTCAAAGGAGGGCACAACATCTGGACTAGGTTGCAATCATGATGGTCAATAATCATGAGTGGGAACATGGTTCATGTCATATAAAGGACTAAGAGTTGTTGAAAATCTTGTCCAACTAACTCGTTCTATTTATCTTTTCAAAGCCTACAAATCCAGAAACACTCGCCCTACCTGCTGTTTTTATGGGAAAATTTTTAAAATGTGACAAGAAAATGAGCAGTAACCATCAAACCACCCTAATAGATATGTGTAGTGGCAAGTTTGATCATCTCAATCTCAGACATGTGGTACGTAGGTTATGTGCTATATTAATAAACACAAATGTCTAACGAGCAAGTCTTTTTGTAACAACTTTGTTTTTACTGGAAAGAATTGTTTGCCCTGTGCAATACCCCCTATTTTGAGGGCCAACGCTTAGTTTAGTCTACCCCCTCTGACTTGTTTGGCTTTGGTAGACCTACCAGGAGACCATGTTTCTGCAAACATATCTGAGGGGGTACTCAAGATGTGCAAGACCCCTAACCACAACAAACATGGTAGTGTGATCCATCCAGTACCAGTAGGTAGTCTAAATGCAGGAACCTTTTGATTTTCAGTCAAAACTAGAATCCAAATTGTGCAAATTGTACAAGCAAATGGTTTGCCTGAAGGAAGTGCTCCAGGAAAAATGTATAACATCAGTGACAGGAAGTGACCACATTGGACAACCAATCAGAGATCACATGAATGCACATGTACAAGCAACAACAACACTTCTTGAAGACAGCTGTCAAGACCTTCTCTCTCTGTCTGTATTGATTCCATCAGCACCGTGGGTAAGAAGTTAGCACTCAGAATGATCATACAATGCCAAGATTTCTTCTTTCTGCTCTGACTATCCCATTCTAAGAAATATCTTTTTTTTGACAGCCACCACTTAATAAGCAAATTAGACCAGACTTGAATCTAGAAAATGTGATGTCACATATGCCATCCAGTTTAAGCAGAAAGAAAGAGGAAGAGGTATGTGTAATGTCATGCTAATAACCCATGGATCATGTTTATTAACATAGTATGTGTTAAAACTTTGTTTTTACAGATTCGGTCAGTGATTGATCCTCTAATGAAGGCTGTCAGTTATGATCAACACATGCATTTAATTGAGGTCTGTTACCATGGTGATAATCTAATAGGCTTTAAGATTATTGTACAATCAACAATTTTGAAATTGAAGTGAGTTTGGGTGAGAAAATCCATTTTAGAGTTGTTCTGTATCAAACAGACCTCTTGGGTGTAATGTTTTCTCATTTCAAATCATGTCATTCCCTAGAGTATCATTTCTTTGTTTATTTGTTATGTATGAGAAGGCAATATTGAATATGGATACGATTCAAACAAAGAATATTATTTCTCAAGGGAATGATAAGAGTTGTCTGAAATGGTAAAACATTATGCCCAAGGTAAAGTGGTTTATTACAGACTTCTCCTGGGTGACTGATTACTATCATGTTTTTCCTCATTAAATATATATAATTTGATATAAAATGTAGATAAAGATTCTAAAAGAAGAGTTATCCTTTCACCAAAGAATGTATCAGTTACAGCTGGACTATACTGAGTCAGTACTATCATCCATCAGGTGGGTTTATGATATAATTATTTTAAAAATCTAATTAGTTTCCATTGTCATCTATACTGACGTGAACAACTATTTTATTCAAAGAACTGCATACACAGAATTTGAGAAAAGCACATCTGAAATGTTGTGTGAACCACTAGAAAGTAAGTGATGGCACAATGATGTTATCATCCACACAGTATAATATTTCACCATGGATTTACTGCCTCATTTTACAGGGATTCTAGAGTATTACGAAGCTCTAAGAACCACCACATCTGAAGAAGACCTTAGACTTTTTCTTACAGCATTCAAAGACAATGCTGAAAAGGTACTATGAAAACAGTTCTGTTCTTATTTGAAGCATATTTGAGCTGCAGTGTTACTTATACAGATATTTTAATGAAGATTTCAGATGCTGTTGAATGTCTTCAGTCTCACAGAAATAAAGATTCTGCAGGTAAGTAAGCAATTTTGAAAACATTATAAATACATACAACATTGGGCAGCAACTAGCATGATGAATATACCTTGATTGAAGAAAAGGGCTATGTCTATTACTGTCTTCATATTACTGCATGACTTAAATGGTTGCTGCCAAGTTTCTGTTTCAGTACTGAAAATTCATACATAATTTTTCTTGCAGGAAGCATTGCACTGTCAGAGTATTGCCAGAATTTCTTGGATAAACTGAACAGTTTAATAAAAGAATGTGCAATAAAAAGAGATACACTAATGAAGAAACTTATAGACTTGAAAAAACAAGAAAGTGAAGATCAATTGATGAAAAAACAAGAAGGAAATTAAAGCTTGCATTTATAGATGTCAAATATATATTTAAAACGAAGGGGTTGTTAATAAAATATAAACTAAAAGATACCATTGAAGGCATGAATATAAGGGAAAGAATTAAGATGCGTTGGCTATAAAATAACAAAAACAACAAAGGGTGATGAATCATAATCTAAAAAATATTTGTTTTAAGTTAACAAAATTCCCTAAAAAGACTATAGATTTAGCCAAGTTCTTGAAGCACCTCAAAAACTGTAACTAGTGCATAAAAATGAGGAATGTTTCTATGACAACCAATGCTAGTACTGATTATTTTTTATAATGAAGTACTGAGATCTATCTACAGCAGGAGTACCTATACTCATGTCTAAAGCAGAGGATCAATCAGCTCTACAGGTAGATCTAACATGACATGAATATGCCTGTCTATAGTTACATGTGGTATTTAGATAAAAACCTACTATTTCTTTGCAAGTCAAGATTGCTAAGAATCACTACCGATTTTAGAAGTTCTCTTTTTAGACTTTTTTTCTTTTTCAGGTTCATTTTTCCGAGTAATTTCACTCCCAGTACTTTCTTTTAATTTTCTCTTTTTGCCTTTTTTCTTTGGACTTTGTTTCTTGGCAGATTCCTGTTCTTTCTTTTTCTTTTCTGGTATGTAATCATTACTTTCATCAGCACTATCTAGTGAATCATCCCAAAGCATTGTTGCCAATCCATCTGATTGCTGTACAGCTGCCCCATTAGATACATTTTCCTCCTTTGGCTCAGCATTTTGTGTCTCCTTTTTCTTATTCTTCTGAGATTTCTTAGCACTTTTATTTTTTGCCTTTGAAGAAGGGTTATCCCTAGAGGGGTCCCAGTCATTGTCAGACTGGTCATCATCATCTGATACATTTTCTCCAACAAGTAAATGTTGCAATGTTACAGACTCATTAGACGATGACACATCATTTTCCTCATCTTCACTTTTGTTGGAGTCTGATGCTGACTCATCACTTCCTGATACAGATTCATCACTTTGTATCGAAAAGTCTTCATCATCCATTTCAATAGTTTCTGGTTCTTCAACTAGATAACCTAAAATAACATTAACAGTCATTTTGAATGGTTGATTTGAATGCCATCCCTGAAACAAGGCTAAAAATAACAGCCGGTCATCAGACCATGTCTTAAGAGAATAATTGGAACTTTTCTGGTTAAATCTCTGCCTTGTCATTCATTTTCTGACAAGTAACATTGAGCCAGAATGACCAGCCATTATTTTTTGTCCTGATTAAACAAAACTCAATAAACAGAAACAATGTTAATAAGATGTCAAATTACCAGTTAAATGAACTTCATTATTTCCTTCTGTATAAAAAGTAATTTCCTCTCCTTCTGTGAAAGCAATATCCAGTGTCTGCTGAGGGATTCTTCCTGGCTGTAGAGTACAAAGAGCAAATTGTGCCTTGTCTACTTCTACCATAATAGTAACAGGATCAGCAGTAGTGTTGTTGAAGCCTAGTGCAGCCATTGATAAGTGAAAGGATTTCTCAACTGTTTGAGTATAACGCTTCCCAACATCTAGTGTAATTCCTATAATAGACAGATATAATCGTTCAGTGTGAATTTAAATCCCCTTGGAAGGAAAGTATAAGAATCTTTTTTTCAGAATTGCATTGCATGAACATATTCTCTCTCCAAGCTTGAACCTCTTCACACCCTTCCCCCTTGCCTCCTGCAAGACTCACCCCTGATATCCAGGGTGGCAAAGGGGGTTCCCATTACACCTCACACTAAATATTTCTTAAAAGAAATCTTGCGCCAATGATATATTTTTTGACCTATTACACATCACACATAGCATCACAATATGAGAATATGCATCATATGGCTTATTTGGGAATATAATCATGAATCACACAGCTAATTTCATTATCACACATAACACAGACACCCTTAGCAGTCTTGAATATTGGGTAAAACACAAAATTGAGAAAAAATTCAAACAAGTCAAATGTAATTATCTCCTAACCATTTATTCCATACTAAACTACTGCTCCTTCTGCCGTGAGGATGAACTTCCCGTTCTTGTGGGTGGAGAAAAGACATGGCCCCAAGGTACCAAAGGAAGACATAACAGGGGAGGGGAGAGGGAAGAATTTGTGCTTACTAATAAAGCAGGATTAACACTGCAACGAAGAACATAGAACAAGTTCTAAGTCATTAACACTACAGACACGTGGAGGGAAAATGTCTGTACACATGTATCAGAGTTAAAGGAACTTCAGTCCTTACTTTTGTAGCAATAATTCTGGTCATAAGTTATTAGTGAGGATTTCTTACTAGTTCAGTTAAATAGCAATCAAATAATCTAGAGGATTTACTGAGAAGGTAATGTTTGGTAGTTTAAACTTTAAGTTAATATGTTATAAACTTTGATTATCAAAGCGCCTTACCCAACCATGCGCGCACTCAAACAAAACAGAAATACCTTACAATAATTCCTGTAAGAGGTACAGAAAAAGCCAATAACCTAAGATTAGGATTAAGTCTTACCCCAAAACATTTTGTTAAAAGTTGTATGATATCTTCGTCCTTCGAAGGGTTTTTAAAAAGGTAAAATTGCGTCTGGTGTAAAATACTTCACTTTGCGGCGGCCATCTTGGACAACACAATGCGCATGCGTGGTGGAAGCATAGGCGCGATGTCTACTGGGTAATATTCTCTTTCCTTCAGGCCACAGTGAAGGTAAAACTATAGAAAAAAGTATGAAATAATCTGTAAATATCTAAGCCATCAGGCGACTGAAGGTTTCGAGAATTGGCCATATGATTGTAAAATATATAATAAATCGTCTGAACAAGTTATTTTAAACAATTTAACCGAAACATTTGTATTTCCAGACATGTTTTGAAAAATCTCTGTCTATCGATACACACACGATATTTTAGGCCTTCTATGTCGAAACCTTACAAATTATTGATTGAATCATCCTATTCATAAGAAGTAGAGGGTAAGGCCTCTTTATGAATTATTTGTTCGAGCGGGTTTTTGACAAATATACTACTTAATGGACAATAAATCAAGAAAACTTGTATATGCTACATGCATGTGTCTATAAGATTACCATCATATACTTGAATACAGTTATATGTGATATATATCGATGATAATGTTATATGTACTTGGTATTTGGTAGGTCATCCAGCACCATGACACGCTACGCTAAGGATCCTGAAAATCCTACCAAGTCATGCAAGGCCAGGGGATCAAATCTTCGTGTTCACTTCAAGAACACAAGAGAGACAGGCATGGCTATCAAGGGTATGCATGTTCGTAAGGCAACAAGGTACCTTAAGGATGTTGTGGCCAAGAAACAGATTATTCCTTTCAGGAGATTCAATGGAGGTGTAGGCCGAAAGGCTCAGGTGATTATACATGACGCATATTGACTAGATGGATGCTGTTGATTGCATCTACCTGTTGATGCATGTGCCAAAAACCCAAAAAAATGTGTTTCAATGCAACACCGAAACTCAAAATTTCATGTGTCAAAGTTAAAAGTTTCCCTCACTCACTTGCTTAGTTTTCAAAACACACTACAGATACACTTGATGGAATGTCGGATCAAACATCTAAACTACCAACAAAATACTTCTTCTTAAAAACTTTTAACTTTGACACTTGATATTGTGTCAAAAGATGTTTTTCCACATGCATTAATGGAAGAAGCAATCAACAGTATGACTAACTGCAAAACATTTGATGTTGGTGGAAGACCCTGGCAGCTCCAGACCTATCCATGCTTGCTGATGTTTTCAGTTCTGTCAATCCAACTTAATTATTTTGAGCTAATAATTACTTGCATTGAATTGATGGAAGCCAAAAAAAGCTGACATTCAAAGTGGTGTGGTTAGTGGGTACAAACAAGAAATGCATCAACATGGTAGTACTCCAATATATAATGATCTATCTGCCAAGCAGCCAAAATCATCCATTCCTATACTGCTTTATGATTTTCTTCTTCATTGCATCCTGTTATTATGTTGCTCTAAGTGTAGTTATACCACTTAAAGGAGGGAGTAAAGGGATAGGACTTGTTATGGTGGTATAAAGAGAATGATCTAGCAGTACAATATACATAATATATTTTAGTGTATTGGTCTGTGTTGCAGTGTTGGTGGGGTTCATTCCCAACTGGATCAACACTCCGGGATTCCCAATAATAATATTGTTTTATTGTAATATATCAGGCCAAGAACCGTAAAGCCCCAGGATCACAGGGACGTTGGCCCAAGAAAAGTGCAGAGATTTTACTTCAGCTTCTGAAGAATGCTGAAAGCAATGCTGAATTCAAGGTATTTTATAATTTTTGGAAAAAATAGTGATCTATATCATCCAAGATGAATATATCTGGATTGGTCTATAAAGTGCTGATAAATGCAGAAATTGAAAACAAAAACCAAAAGAGCATTGATTTTAAATATATTTTTGTCACTTGTGATGAATTATAATAATAAAGAACATTTTTATACACATATAAAAAACTCTATGCATTTACAAAAAATAAATGAATATAGGAATTTAGATTGGAAAATAGAAATGATTGGTTTCGTTAATGATTTACAAATTAACAGTAGACAATAATAGATTTTTCTGCACATCAGCCCAATTATCAAATGGTAATCAAGCTTTGTATTGACGATTCATATCAAATGATGATAAAGACTTGCAAACCAAACCATGTTGTAAAACATCTATGTTATATCATAGGGTTTGGATGTAGATTCTCTAGTAGTTGAACACATTCAAGTCAATGAAGCCCCCAGCATGAGGCGCCGAACATACAGAGCTCACGGTCGCATCAATCGTAAGTATTACTATGCATTAGCAATCATTCTGAAGTGGTTATGTCAAAGCTTAAGGAATATTAACCATCAATAAATGTAGAAAAGTTGTTCATAGGAAATACTAAATCAAAAAGATTTATAGAGTGGATTGGATTAAACTAGTATCTGCTACTGGTTAAGTAAGATAATGTTACTACGATGTATTTCTCCATGGCAACATTGAAATGATACTTTTAAAATAGCTATCTTTGAAATCTTTCTGTCAAATTAATGAATGTTTTTCATAGTTCAAATGGTTGTTTTGTTTCTTTTTTTAACAGCTTACATGAGTTCACCATGCCATATAGAAATGATTCTATCTGAACATGAGCAGGTTGTACCCCGCGCTGAGGATGAAGTTGAAGTCAAGAAAGTCTCCAAGAAGAAGATGGCCAGAGAAAAAATGAAATCAAGGGAATAAATAGACCTGAGCTGCCTTGTATAAAATCAATAATAAATGATACCATCTGTTTGAGAAATTTGATGCTTTTATTGGTTCTTCTTTATAAATGGGGGGAGATTTAATCCTTGTCATTCAAGTGCCATTCTTAAAAGCTTTTTGTATTTGACACTAGACTAGATATTATCAGGTGTCGGAATTGTACTTCCGTGATAAAAGTTCAAAATGTTTGAGGAAGCTTTATAGATAAAAGGCTTTCATCAAAAATAACTCATTGGCAGAAAAATATTTTAATATAAACTCATGAAAATGGTTCACATGTTTGATTCTTCATTGTTTTTTATGCCTTGAAGAAATAGAATTCTCATACCTCAATCCCTGGATGCAATAACCATAATGTACATGATTGTATCTTAAACCTGGTTGTATGGTACAAGCATGTGGATCACCAAATATATTTATGGCTATGAATAAAATAATGTACCATAAACTTTGTTTGGAAGGGGGCACTTATCTTTCATTGTTATATTATTTACTGCTGTACATATCATAAGCTTGAACCAATGTCAGATACTAATGCCAAGCAACTGGAACTGTTAGGCGTAAGAGTGCCCTTATTTTTTCCTCTTGCTTGGCCATCAAGCAACCGTTAGGTCTAAGGCATAATATGTGGTATCTGACACGGGTTCAAGCTTGCTCATTGCGTACAGCGGTAAATAATATAACATGGAAGATAAGTGCCCCCTCTCTGCCCCCTGTGATTTTATTCCAAAGAGCCTTCATATTGTGCTAGAATTTTAACATAGTATGTGGCCTATTGCCATATCTATTTATTAACATGATTTTCTTATGGTTGGGGATGTTAGTGAGTGAATGTTAGTACAAGAAGAACAACGAAAAAAGAGGAAAATGTAACATCTCCCGAGGAGGGTAGGCTTAGAGACTTTGGTTCAGGCCGTGACGTCACGCATTATATTGGAAGTTGACATTTGATGAAAGGCTACTGTGAGGCCAAAAGCAAACACCAAACTGATGCGACATCAAATTTTATAACAATAACGTGCGTTGAAAGCATGGATACTGCGTAATACTGTGCAACTTGCTTTGGATTTTAGAACTTCGATTCTTTCTTGTAAATTATTGTGTTGATGAACGAGCGATCGTGTGTGACCGGCCAGTGATGGTTTCATTAAGAATCTTCAACCGTTGTGAAGGGAAGTTGATAGTGGACCATGTCTGTTGACATCAAGAATCGTCCCAAACAAGAATTAAAAGCTAATGGAGCCGAGAAGGCTCTACAGTCCAGTACTGAGCCAGAAACATCTTTGAAAAACGACAACGGTGATTATCTAGCGAGAAACAAAGGACCAAGGCGTCCTTCACAACCACAAGATGAAGTACTTACACTCGAGTTTAAGAAGTGTTCTCCTAATTTTGGGATTGTTTTAGATTACAAAGACTCCATCAACCCGTCGTTACGCTCTAAAGCAATGTTAGGAAATGCTAAGATCTCCAAAATTCTACCAAATAGCCCTGCTTTTATGGATAAGAGACTGAAAGTTAATGACAGAATACTGGAAATAAATGGAAGAGATCTAGCGAAAGCAAGCCTTGAAAGATCTAGGTACGTAATGCGTTCTTAATGGATTTATGATTAAGGTTCAATTCTTTTTTCAGCAGAGATTAATGAATGACACGACTATGGTTATTGTTAACAGAGTTTATATATTTTCATCCCTTCACTTGCTACAAATCTAAAGAACTACAGATTTATAAACAACAACAGAACACTTTAATATACATGACTGTATAAAAACTAAATCAGTCAGCTTTAGAATAGTAAATATGACAACATACTGCGGTGTTCACCGCATTTGTCTGTGTTTTCTGCCCCTGGCGGGTCTAATAGCTTGCGCAGTTTGTGTATGTGAATGTGTGTGAGAATTATATATAAGATATTTAAAGTTATCTAAGTTAATTAGCTATTTTTACAGATTCATACTTATATTATATTTTATTTATTTAATTTATTTTATGCACGACCCCACAAGCTTTTAGCTTTAAATTTTATCGTGTTTAAATAAAGGTATTCTATTCTATTCTATTCTACTGTACGTTCGTGTCAAGATTCAATCCAGAAGATATTTGTGTTTTGGTATTAAATTCCATCATGAGTCGGGCGATTGATGTACTTAATTAAACCGTGTTCAAATATTAATAGTAGACCCATATTTTTGTGTCCTCTTAGTGTCTCACCGCTAGACTCATTCGCTAGTATTTCATAACACTCTAGAAGGGCGTTTAGCTTCACAGCTTCAAGTCAGCTACATTATATACAATGTTCCTTGAACTTGCTAAGTTATTTTACTTATCTACACTTGATTTATCCTAAACGTGCCTCATTTATATTATCATATATAACTATAGAGTTTAATTATGGTAACCACAAAATTTCTGGAGAGATTATTCGAACAGGTTACACAATGTAGTGATTGTTTATCAAGATTGTCTGTCTAACAGAGATATGGTCCATACTGTCATGCCTATGTTTTGGAGATAGCAACATTTTATTGGGAATTAAAGACTTACTGTTTTATACAGGCTATATTTGAGCAGTGCTCTTCGCAGTGGTAAACTTGTGCTGAAAATCCTGCGTAACTCTACTGTTAGTTCCTCTGTTGCCATGGCAAATGGTGGTGCACAGCTATATTCAGGAAATATAAATCAAGTAAGTTTACAAGATGAGAGCATGTTAAGATGAGAAGTCAATTCATTTCCCATCGTATTATTCAGCCAAGATAACTCATATTTCCTTGGCTTTTGCATTGATTATCTTTTTATAATTACTGTTTTGTTTTGTAGAGGAACATTACAAAGAAGATACATATACTAAAGAATAGTCGAGGGCTTGGAATACAGATAGCACAGCATACTGATCCCAGCACTGGTAGTGTGGGGATATTTGTGTCTCATATTGATGCTGGTGGTGCAGCAGCAAGGTATTATTTGCCTCTCCTAAGTTTAAAGGGTGAATGTTAATCAGGGGTGGATCCAGGGGTGGTGAGGGGATGACTGGTCACTGCTCTCTGTTTTACAAATGATAATGATCTTTTTATCATCAAAAATATGTATGCAGATAAAATTTTACTAGCTTTACTTGATGCTGTCAAAATTAACTTCCTTCAATTTGAAACCTTTTTTTCACCACTTTTCTTTTCTGTTATGGGTTTCCTGTGGTATGAGCATGAAGTAAGCTGTAACAGTCACCCCCTTTTACAAATCCTGGATCTCCCTGGTTATTGAAGTTATAGTTCATTGAGTTGTGGGAATATCAGAAAGTTCAAATTCAATGTCATATTTTTATGCACCAGTCATTGCCAGTCATACTTCAATCTTTGGTCAAGTGAATTGATTCCCATTCCCACATTACTGGTTTTGGCGGTTTATCAAAGATTGGACTGGTTTTTCTCATTTTTTCATATTTCCATTGTTTCATCGTGTTTAGAGATGGTCGGCTAAAAGTTGGAGATGAGCTTTTATGGATAAATAAACACAGTCTTATAGGAGCCTCACAACAGCAAGCTATTGACTATCTAAGAGCATCGCCTTCTCTCATCCAAATGGTGATATCCACAAAGGTATATCCCTATCAACATTTGGTTAATAGTATTATCCACAGACCTTCCTATTAGCATGGAATGCCGTCCATTTCGTGCAGCATGTCAGTTCTTGAGCAATGTTTCTTTCTTTATGTAATGTCGTTTGGTGGGTGTCAGTCAATGTTTTCATGACATTGTCAGAAAGATTCCATTTCCTTGAAACACCTTGATTAATATACATAAATACATGCGTTAATAATTTATGGTAAGTTTAAAGTTTAAGTCACATATGATTCATCTTTCATCTTTAGGATGATGGAACTTCCATTCCAAGGCCAAGAAAACCATTACAAGATGACACTTCGCCATCCCCATCATCAACAGCAACAGCAACAATAACACCGACATCATCCCAGAGGCTTTCAAAAGTTAGAAAACCAAGTTCTTCAGATTCTTCTTACGTTTCCTCTAGTAAATTAGCAAATCAACGTCGAAAGATTAGCCAAGAATACTCGTCTAGACCCCTGACATCTGACAAGATAGAAAAAACTAAAGGTGTCAAAGCAAATGACTTGACAGCACCCAAGGTACAATTACGACAAAAACAGACGAATGCCAAGGCAAAGACATCGGAAAATATAATCAATGATACAGAAAAAGAAGCTACCAAGCAAGCACAAACTCCTTTCGCTAAATCCAAGCCGTCTGAGTCTAACTTGAATGATAATAGGACAAATGATAGAACAACAGATTTTGTTGCTCAAAAACTGACGACTGAGAATTTAAAGCAGAGAAACGAACGCAAAACGAAAGAAATGTCAACTGATTCAGGAAAGGAAGTAGAAGAGAGGAAGGAGAAGAAATATACAAGTAAAGCAAATACAGTTTCTGCAAGCGAGCCTGTTTCGGAGAAGAATGAGGATGGCAGGATAGTGACTGAGAATTCTTCTTGCCGAGCTGGTTCAACGAGTGCTTCTTCCGCGTCGGAGCAACCGATACATAGGAAAACTAATAAAGATATTCCTAAAACGACAAGAAAAGGAAGTGAATACAGTTTACCAAGATGGTCTTCGTTTGGCAGCTCAACCAGTACTGAAAGCAAGAAGTCAAAAGAGGAGGATTATTCTCCTAGTGATGCGCGCGGTGACAAGAACGAATATGACAATCAAAATTACATTTTCCAAGATAATAAAAATAGCAGGTCCTCCGCCAATAATCCATCTCGTCCAAGGCTCATCAAGGCTCATTCAATAGACTCTCTTCCAAAGAATGTTAGTGATGATAATAGCTCAACTCGATCTAGAACAAGATCTCGCTCCTCAAGTATTTCTTCAGAGAGTTCACAAGGTTCAAGGATTGGAGCCAAGGTAAAGAAGCTTATCAAGTCACTATCATCTGAATTTCTCTATGCGCGTGGTGAGGCCAGTCAAGACAGTGAACCAACAGCAATGGAAAACAAGTCACTCGCCAGAAAACAATCAGGAACTACTTCAGTTTTGAATGACGAAAATAAAAGACGAAATGTTATACCCGTGTTAGACGGAGCAAAGAGAGTGAAAAAGCGGATGATTAGAGCGTTTAGTAAAGATAACCTGAACACAGAAACACTTGAATCTACCCCACGCCCCAAATCACCAACCATACCAGCAAGTACCCCGGTAACAGGGCTCTATCTTGGGTCCACCGCCGAGTCTATATCAACTGAAGGACACCCAACACCAGTAATGTCAGTAGGAACCAATAACCGAGAATCACCTCAAGTTACCAGGAAATCGCCTAACCTTCGTACTAAAACAGATGGACATGTTGTCCAGGATGGTGACGTCATCACTGTGGTACTAGTCAAGGGCATGGCCGGGAAGGGACTGGGGTTTACTATTGTTGGTGGTAAAGGATCCCCTAGAGGAGATCTCCCGATATATGTGAAAAACATCTTACCAGGTGGTGCAGCAGTAGCTGATGGACGACTTAAGAGAGGTAAGCTGTCACGTGGTCTAGTTACCATTCCCTCGCTCACTTTTATCTAATACTATAGTAATACTGAGCCGTGTGTCTATTTGTTTGGCTAATGTTATGTAGTAAATATTTCCTATTAGCTCAGTATCATGATGACAGTCTTACCAAAGGGAACAAAAGCGCACCCGCTCGCCTAGGTTTTATTTTTTCTAAACTGGATGGAGTTTGAGTATTGATGTAACTTTTGTTACCTTTCCTGAAGGGTATGAAATATTGTCGGTGAATGGGATGGACCTCGAAGGATGTACACATTCCCATGCACTGGAAATCTTTAAGGTGAGTAACTTAAAAAGACCTCCGATTATTATTGGACAAAAACCACTAGTGTTTAGTATCATTTATCGTTGAGCGGCTTTTCCCTACTTATAGACACTGAGCAAGTGAGGTTTGTTATGTCTTCATACTACTGGGCCTATTGACACAGCTGTTATGTTGATGGGGTCTCCAGTCATCAAGGAAAAAAACATTTTCCACCCATGCCGGAAGTCACGTGACTTAGATGAATGATTTCCATCTCAGTACTGAAAATATCACGTGTAGTTAACCGTGATATATTATTATTAACTTCACTTTGTATGGCTTTACGAGGATTTCTATTCAATAAAAATAACAGTTTTTATGCTTATGATTCTAGCCGTTAATATTGACACAATGGTCGAAGTATAGATTATCGGAAAAGCCGGCGTGTCCCTAAAATTCAATTTTTTTGAGTTGAAATCTCGTTTTTACATCGGTTTCCTTCTTCCCAACCGGTTCCCAGATTTAGTTTATTGTTTCTATTGTGTAAGCATGTTTCTATTTTAAGAGTAGTTATTTTGGTTTATTCTGAGTAAACTAAACTGTTTCAACGGGTATGGTTTTCACCTGCCCACCCCTAGGTAATTAAAATAACAGTTTTCGAGTATTGGCTTGACAATGGATCTATTAACACCCAGTATACCACCCGTTGATAACAATTTCACTTCAACCAACATGAGAAAACGAGTAAAAAAGTTATGTCGCTTCTTGTAGCGGAACAAGCTAAGTGTGAGAAAGACGAAGTATTATCCGTGTACAGCCATTCCGCTAGTTTTACCTGGCTAGACAAATAAAAATACGTAGTAGGATGCGAGTACAGCATATGTAACATTTGCATAGTTCAAGTTATGTCAATAGAGAGCCAGGTGCCGTGCCATCGATAGTTTACAATCAATTATTCTTTTTGTAGAATGTACGCCGTGGAATCGTCACTTTAAAAGTCCGTATTAACGAAAACGGTGGTCCAAGTCTGTCAACGTTTGTTTCTCCTGAAGGCTCCCCTGCCTTAACACGCCGTCACGAGACAGTACGGTATCCCTCAGGCGGTGGTGGCGCCGATACCTCCAGCTCTAGTGGACAGGAATCACCCAACATGTTTCGAAAACTGAGATCCAAACGAAGCAAGAAGTCAAAGATCACAGAAATAGTGCTTATCAAAGGTAACTATGAGTAATGTATTTTAGTTCATGGCGAGTAGTCGTTTTGTTAATAGTTCTACTGATGAAAAAGTGATTCCATACCAGAGGATTTTTTTAAAGTTCTGGATATATATAAGCGTATCCCAGCTGCCTTCGTTTGTCTTTTTACAATGTAAACTTTACTGACTCTTTGTGACTGGTTTTCAATCTCATCTTGTTTTGTGAATACCTCAGAAATATTGAACTGTACTCTGTGATTCGATTTTCTCCGGTATTTCGTCATGAAAACTTCACGTTTAGTCTCTGAACCATTGCCATTCTTGGCAAGTCATCTTCATATATCTTCTTCTTATTCGTGAATATTTTTGGGTATAAATGTTCGAATTAATCTCAGGTGGGTTTGAGATCCTGTATTTTTGTTAACAATCATTTTTTGTCCAGCTGCCTTAATTGTTTAAAAACAATATTGTGAAAGACTTTCTCCTTACTCCATATTTTGTATAAAAAAACCTAAATCAGTTGTAAGTCAAGAGAAATATTTTTTATTCAATTTTTCAAAGCTGTCTTCAGTCCCTAACTAGGCGACTGGAATTAAGGAAAGACTGAGATTAAATCATATCGAAACAAACTTGTCTAGATCGCCCAGCTTTCCTTATATGTTACCGATACTAACTATTCATAATAATGAGTAATGACAGATGATAATCACTCGATAATGAGTAAGTAATCAAGGTAATTAATGAACCGTCGGTCTGGTTTACTTTACAGAGCCTAATATCAGTATAGGCTTGGGCCTGGGTTCTACGCCTCCTTCAACTCAATCGAACAAGCAAGGATTATTTGTACAATATCTTGTTGAGGAATCAACCGCTGCAAAAGACGGCAGGCTCAAGTAAGTTTACCTAAACTTTTCCATTTTATGCCAGCTAGATAACTTTGTGTTACCGCCGTTTGCATTGCTACGCGGCCACCCCAGACAAAAATCGCGACGTGCACTTTGCAATAGACTGCCGTCAATCAAACAAGTTGAAAACAACTGCTAGCTATGCATCGCTCATGTGATATTCGAGCACTAGTCGAGTGTCAGTCGTGTGCTAGTCTGTACTAGTCGTGTGTCAGTCGTGTGCTAGTCGTGTACTAGTCGTGTGTCAGTCGTGTGCCAGTCGTTTGCTATGCTAGTTCTGTCCAAGTCGTGTGCGACCGTCGTGTGAATCTCGTACCCAGAGCCTGCGTTTCTTCTGACCTGCGGCAAAGAACGAGGCTCTGGCATAATCCATATTTTGGCACATGCGCAATTTTCGGAAAGTGAGATATAAACGGTCAAAATAAGCAAAGTAAAAATTAAATCGAAGTAAAAATCAAAGCAAAAATCATAGTACAAATTTAAAAATCGGGGGGAAAATATTTTTAATTTTTGGCAAGTCTTTGAACGCGTGCGCTGTTATACCGGAAGTCCAAGAAATCCTGGTCTCAAAAAATGGATTATACCAGAGCCCTCGTTCTTCAACGCAGGCCAGAAGAAACGCAGGCTCTGGGTACGAGATTGCGTCGTGTGCTAGTCCATGCATTTGTCGAATGTTTTCTTCGTTTTTTTTTTATATTGATCATGAATCATGATTCCATTTTTCAGAAAAGGTGACCAGCTTCTACAAGTCAACGACCACGACTTATCCGCGGCGACCATCGAAGAGGCTTATCAACTACTCAACACCCTTCCCCACGGGAAAGTGACACTTAAAATCCAAAAGAACGAACCACAAGGAACAGAGAAACTGCCTACTAACGTTAATCATGCTCTAGATAAATTGATCGATGAAAGAACCATACTTGATAAGAAATTAGCCAAGAAACCCGTGGGGGGAGGGGTCAATATTGGTACACTGGATAACAGTAGGTTGTCACAATCGTTTGGTAAGTGAAAAACATGATGGGCTTCCTGTGGAAACGTTTAGAGACTCATTTGCTTAATTTGTTTACTTATAGACGAAGATACATATTTCTGCTCATCAAACGAACCTCTTCTGCCGTTCAGATCAGACAGTGAGAAAAGGAAAGATAAGGTTGGTTATTTTAAAACTGAGTTAGCTTGACTTCCAAAACAGGGTTGGGGTGGGGAGGTAAAAAAATGTATTCTTCGTTTGCAATAGACGTCATAGCCGCCATGTTGGAAGAATTTGACAAAAGATTTTTCAATGAATTCTTTTGTTATATCTTCCAACATGGCGAACATCCCTTTTGTTATTGTGCTCTCTTGGGATTGATTTCAAACCAAGAATGGTTGTAAGGTTGCTTATTTGTTTTCCCTGTATTTTCTCTAGGGATGTACAAGTGCAGTTCATCCAGAGGGTTATGTCGCATCTCTGTCAGGTTAGTAGACCTGTTAGTCATGTTGACCATGACGATGTCAAGCAAAACGTAATCGTTTCGATTTGTTCTGATTTCTTTAGGAAAAAACAACAAGCAAGTTGAGATGATAATCTTAAAGAAATTAAAATCAGGTAATCAATAGCAATAGTAATCATTCCCGGGCTGTACAACCTCACATAGTGCCGTGCATACTGAAGGTTATTGCAAAAGTTTAAATGGCGTTTCACCCATAACATTAGAATAGAAAACTTTTATCGCAGGGTAAAGCGATAGAGATGTAAATAAATTATATAAAGAATCAAGGAGCATTGTCCACACTAACCTTTTGACGAGTGTCTTTTGTCGAGCTAATTTTGATTTCCACTTTATGTTGAAGAGTATACTTCCTTCGAAGGGTTTTTACACCGCTTACCAACATTTTCTTCCTTTACTAAACAAAATAGAGCGTAAAGTTATCCTTTGGCTCGACTTTGGCAGTCCGAACCAACACATCACCAACACACGTTTAGTTTAAAATTCCCGCTTGCTGACTTAGTAACCTCGTCACTCGTAATACACGGGTAAACCATCTTGGCATATTTGATAGTTTTAAACACAGTTCATTTTTCTTACAGGAGAGCTAGGGATGGGGGTGACTATTGATAAGTCACGTGGTAGCACCGTTGTCGAAGGCGTGTTCATTAAAAGCGTCGCAAAAGGAAAATCCGCTGACTTGGCGCAAAGTACTAGTGGCGGGCTCAGACCAGGTAGGATAAACATGTAATCTTGTTGTCATGACGAGATAGATAGGGACAATATTCATGTATCTGAGATGTAGGACTCATTAAAAAAAATAGGATTTGCTAGTATTGAATAATATCTAGGTGTGATAGGTAGTGTTTTCTTGGGGGGAAGGGGTAGGGGTTTTTTGTACCATGTTTACTAAGATGATTGTTGTTGCCAGGTGATGAGGTTCTTGAGGTCAACGGCACGTACCTGAATGGAATGGACCAAGAGGATGTTATCAAGATTTTCAGAGACTTACCGGTGACGACTGTTTTAAAGGTCAAGAGAGCCAAAACAAGGGACGAACTCGCTGCTGCAGAAACAGAACACCCGCAACTATCCAATACACCGGACAACAAGGAAGAACAAGAAGGGGATACTTTTGAAGGTGAACTAGAGATCCCTGAGGGCTTTAAGAAGGTTACTATAGTGATAGACAAACCGAGTACAGCTTCTCTTGGCTTGTCACTCGTACCAAGCCAAGGCCATGACGAGATGAAAGGTTATTTCGAGGTAAGACTTTTAAAATATTATGATTTGAAAATCGTATATTCATTAACTGACTAGTATCTTATTTTCTAGGTTCGTCGTGTTCTGCCTGGTAGCGTGTGTGAATCGGATGGTCAGCTGTTGCCTGGCGACAGGCTGGTATCACTCAATACAGAGAATCTTGCGAATGTCTCTCATTCAACTGCTTTACAAGTCTTGAAGAAGCCCACCAAACAAGCGACTATTGTTGTGTTGAGGGAAGTCACTACAGAACAGAAAGATACGAAAACTGACTCTAACGTGTCCATAGTCCAGGTACATACCCCACGACTGGAACCTCCTCCGAAACCACCGCGTGAGGGAAAACAACATCAAAAAGTAAAGGACGCCAACGAACGATTAATAGAACGCAAGAGTTCTAGTTCTGACCAAGCACATTCTGATGAAGAGGAAAAAATGTCACCTTCATCGGAGCTACCTCCAATCGACGCATCAGAACAGACCAGGTACGAGTCCGTTCCTGTTTCAGATGACGAAGAACCAGAAAATGAAGCTCTTCTTGTACCACAGTCGAGTCTACCTTTATCTACACAAGCAACATCTAAAAAACACATTGTAAAAGAATCTCGGAATAAAAGAAAGGAAGAAGCAAGACCCCTTATATCTGACTTACGAACAGGACAAGACAACACAAATAACGATGATAATGTGGACTTTACTGAGACTCTTCCTGACATCAACAACTTACAGTTCAAACCAACTTCAGTTTCTAGGGATACGACAAGCAAAGGTGAAAGACCCGTAGTTGCCATGGAAATGACAGAACTAAAGACAGCAGCAAATACTCAATTACCGCGTCCACTTATTGGAAGGAGGCATGAGTCCAGACCATTTGTTATCGAGTTTGAGAAAAAGTTTCGTAGCCTGGGGATGAGTGTGAGTCTTGATGGCGAGGCACGGTTGGTGGTATCAGAAGTGTCGTCATTTGGTCTCGTGGGAAAAGACGGCAATATAAGGTACGTTTGTCGTCTTTTTTTCTTCTAAAGTGGTATTGTGAGCACTACCTTATTTTGCTGTTGTTGTTGTTGTTGTTGTTTTCCCAATAGGGTTGGTGACATTATTGTTTCCATCGATAACATCCCGCTAAAAGGAAAGACACCAGAAGACGTTAACACCATGATTAAGACTTGTCTTAAAGGAAAAGTACTGATTGAAGCAAGAACTCCACGAAACAGAGAGATACGCACCAGACCTTTATCAGAAGATAGAGTCCCGTTGCTAATGGCAACAAGTGCTCGAGCATCGCTGGCATACTCGTCTGCAGAATCACTTCATGATAACCCTGCACCAAAACCTGATGATGTTTTATTTAAAACTATTCCTATACTTGAAAAGTTGGATGTGACAGACGAAGACGAGGAGAATAAGTTAAATGATGATGACGTGCCAAACATTCCACCTGTGCCTCTTCCCTCAGATGGCACTGGTGACACTCTTAGCAACCATCAAGCTCTTATTTCGACAAATCTTGGGTATTTAGACAAAGAAAGAGAATCATCCAAACAGTTTACTCCAAGATTTCAACGACAGGGAAGACTTGAAGAACAGCAAGCATCTTATCCACTGGCAAAGGAAGAAGTATCTGTTATTACTAAGGGAAGTCTAGAAGACGTAGAGTCAACACCTACGATCATTGACAGCCCACCTTCTTTCCCTCCACCACCAATACCTGAACTAAGCAACGAGCAAGACATCGCTTCTGTTGTGATGGAATCAGTCCTAGAAACCTGCTTACCTTCAGATTATTCAGACTCACATGATGAACTCAGTTTCATTCCACCTCCTGTCGGAGACTTTGACATCGAATCCGATGCGCTTGCCTTGTCTCCTCCCCTATTGTTTGTTGACGAGGACCAAACCATACTGTCTGGTATAGAACAAACCGTTGGTCCTGATACCAACTTACCAGGAACCCTAGAGGATCATCCCATCTCGCCTCCAAGTGTTTTTAATGATGACACGGAGAGTCTCCCACCAGTCCCCCCTCCACCTCCACCACGTCATGATTACATCATTGAAGACCATCCAATCCGACCTCCCAGTCTATTTTCGGACGACTTCGAAAAGGTACCAAAAGGATTTGAAACATCAGCAGATTTTTTCCTTGACTCCGAAGGTGATAGAACTATCTTAAAACCACCAAGCTTGTTTGATTTTGAGGATGACAGCCTTCCACCGCCACCAACACCACTAAGATCACCTTCAAAAGTGAAGTCTCCATTAAAAAGTTTTTCTCCAAAGCTAAAGCATCGAAAATTGTACGAGAAAAATAAAAGTGAATCAGTACAAGATGATACTTCAACTTTGCCATCTACTCTTCCTCCTAAAGCACTGAAACTTCTTGGTCTGTTCGAACCTCCGAGCAAATCCTCTGACAAACCAGCCTTTACTGCATTGTTTGCAGATGACATGGAAAGTCTCCCATCTGCTCCTTCACCTCCTCGTAAAATCGGCTTAGAAGTCGAGGATGAAATCACTAAGCGATTAAACCTGCCAGACGTACCTGATGATGACATGGTTAGTCTACCACCAGCACCACCACCACCCATTGGTTCACCTCGTTGTAGTCCTTCTCCATTAATCCCTTCACCGTCCCTATTATCAAGCCACCAGAAAGACGCTTATATTAACAACCAAACCAAACCTGAATCACAAAAGGAATTTAATATTGAAAAAGTAGATCAACATGTTTCTCACAGGAACCATGTTTCTTTCATCGAGGATGAAACATTGCCACCACCACCGCCACCACCACTTCTTCCTCCTCCAGACTGTGCCCTGGAAGATGACGCTTCTAGCGATTTTGCATCATCTATCGAGCCAACTTTACCGCCAGTCGATCGTATGTGGGAAAATGACCTTCGCAATTTCCGTAGAATGTCACTTGTCGGAGGAATGGCACCAGAAAGCATCCCAGACACGTCCTCTTCATCTTCCACCAAGGATCAAGAACTCGATTTCTTGCATGACATGATGTCATTGGAGGAATCACTGAGTTCAAAAAATCATCACCATATGGATAGATCTTCACCCTTTCCTTCAGTGCAGGAAGAAACTCATTCTCCGCAAAATGAAGAGTCGAATTTGAATGAGAAGAAAACTGTTGGCAGCTTAGAGCATTGGAAAGACGATGGTTCTCATAGTTATGTTCGAAGAAGCCCGAGGTCTTCGTCATTGACATGTGAATGCCCTGATGATCCTCTTTTAACCGGGGTTCGATGCAACACAATAGGAACCACTAAACCTGTTATGAAACCAAAACATCCACCACCACCTCTTCCTGTCATTGACCATCACAAGGCAAATAGAGCGCCACCACCTCCTGGGAAAATGACCACTCATGCCAGGAAAGACAATGAGGTTGCTTCTTTGGGATCTCAACAAGGTGCTTCTGAACTATATGCCCGGGTAATACCAAAGAAAGACAGAAGAATAGCTTCTCCTGAAAAGTGTACCACGAACAGGAACAAAGAAACTACTCTTTTGGAGTCCCAAGCAAAGGATGTAGACATATATGCCCAAGTTATTCCAAAAAAAGACAAAAAGACGCCAGTTTCTCCCAACAAACGACCAGGTTTTCTCAAGAAAAAAGATGGCAAGAAGAACGCGAAGGACGATGGGAAGTCTAGAATTAAGTCTCCTAATTTACCAGCCGCTTCGCAAGACTCCAAATTTGGTTCATGGAGGAGTAAGCTGTTTGGTTCAAAGGGAAGTTCCGCCGAACAAGTCAAGAACAAACAAAATGAAAAGAAAGAAAAGCAACCAAGATTTAGGTCTCCCTTTAGAAATGACTCCAGTCCAACAAAGCCACCATTACCACCACCCTATAGTGGTACAATGGAACGAAGCGATACAGTCGCGCATCCTTTTCCTACGTCTTACCATGATGATCAAGAAAACACATATGCTGTGGTCCATAAACCAAGGTCTCCCTCAAAGTCCTCTCCACACAAACGATCCAGGCGGATTTCTTCTCCTCCTCCTCATTCACTGGATCACGTGGGTGATGATGATAGTTTATGGGATTATTCAGACGAAGGGAGCTGGGACTCGTTTGATGAAAGTATTCCTGAAGATACGAATGAAGGTGGTCAGGACCTAGACGATCTGGTGGCCACTGAACAAAGACCAAATGACACACTTGACATTGAAAATAATCGGGAAGATCTTCCACTAATGTTTGTGTTGCCACAAAAACCACAAGGAGACCCTTCAGATTTTGATGTCGACCATGAGGAACCAAAAACCAGAAACTCCAAGCCTCCTCCTCCAAAGAAACCTACTCACTTACTTAACATGAAAACCAACAACAAACCACCTGTCCCGAGAAAACCGGATTTCTTGAAATTAAGAAATTTACCCGAAAGAAAGATTGATGCTACTGTTGCTGCTGAGAGTCAAGAAGGTTATACGGGTGTTGGGATAGATCAGGGTTCTACTTTAGTTCAACCTGCTGTGCATGTCAGCGGGGTTACAAATGATTACACAGATGATTTTAGTACAGATGACGACAAACCTTTTGTTCCAAGACCTCTACCACCAATCCCAAATTATGAAGTTGATGCAAATCTCCTGGAAAATAGCGTGATTGAAAACGAAGTCATTCCTGTAGATATTACCACAAATGAAACAATGCCTGATTATTCCGCATTCTTCAATGAGCCAGAGCAAGACAAAAGACCTGTAGTTGACAGAGCAGATACATCATCAAACTCTTTGAACACCCTTCATGTATCGTCAAGTGAAAGAAGACTTTCCTCTTCCTCTGGCATCACAAAAAGCCTAAGCTTCTCGTACCAATCTCGTGACCAATCGCCAATAGAATCAAAAGAAAAGCCTGCAGTGTACACACCTCCAGCACTCAGACGAAGACGGTCATCTTCACTTCCACACCTTACCATGCCTGGTTCACGTACTGCAGGGAGTTTACCAAGCCTGCAGGATCTGATTAATGCAAGGAATGCAGGACCTGATGTAGATGAGGGAGTCATATCAGTCCAGGTAGGTAATTACATACATGCAGTACTTTTGCCCATCCTGTCCTAAATTACCTCACTTGGACTCTAGAGCTGACGTTTTCATTAAAATGCGGTCTTTCTAGAGCTCTCACTTTTCTTCTTGTTTTTAGACCGCGAATGAGTAACTGCATGTTATTTATGTATTAGTTGTTGAAGGAAGAGAAGGCAATTGGTCTGATGATTATCGGAGGTCTAGACACACCCTTAGGAATGCTCTACATCAAGCACATCCAACCAGGATCGCCTGCTGAAAAATGCCAACGTTTGCGAGTTGGAGATCAACTTCTTCAAGTTAATGATGAGTGTTTAGTGGGTGTCACACATGCACATGCTCTTGAGGTACTTAAACAAACACCACCACTGGTCAAGTTGACTGTGGCAAGAACAAAAGAACGTGAAGATCTTGATGTTGATGAACTGGGTAGGAGACGTCGACTGGGGGACCAAAAACCAGCCTTTGCATCAGCAGTAGAATCAAGTACGATACCCAAAGCTGTAGAAGATGTGGCAGTTAGTTCTGGTTCAGATGGAGTTATATCACGACCACATTCTGTAGCCCTTTCTTCATTTGGGTCCCCACTAAGTGATGACCAACCTTACTTGTTCTTGTCAGATTCCTCAGATGATTATCATGATTATGAACCCAGTAGTCCAACTCTGAATCTCTGTCAAAACGATGTTCCTGTCACCATCATTGATGGCATACCTGATGAAGCAAGACTAGAAGAGACGGAAAAAACAAGACTAAATAAAAGCGTTAGTTGGGCCATTAGTGATGAAGACTGTGACATCATTACCGTAGAGCTGTTAAAGAAAAATAAGAACAGCTTAGGATTGACAATGAGTTGTGGACAAGGTGCTAGCTCTGCAGATATAACAGTAAGTTTTATTTGGGTGTTCATGTGATGGCAGCCATGTTGGATGACAGGAACAATTAGGTTTTATTCTTTAAGAAATTGATCCTATTATGCAACATGACTACAATCAACCCTAATGAACGGACCTAAACAGTAGTCCTTATGGAAGAGTGTAACTTTTCTCAACACCAAAAAGTTCATAACTTTGACCAACAATAGACCAGTTTCAAATTCAAAATTATGGCTGTGTTTCTTGATTACAAACTCAATTACAGAATGTCAGCCTTCATTTTGTGCAGAATATTCACGTGTTCCAGTAAAGGTCTGTCGAGTTTCTAAGTGATTATATTGTTGAAGTTGTGCATTCTTTACTTTACCGTTGGTATTAGTGAATACCACTGATACAAGGCTAACCCTGTGTAAATCAGTCTGTAATCAAGAAACACATCAGTAATTTGGAATTCGAAACTGGTCTATTGTGATGTTACAATGGGATTTCTGAGCATGGGTGGACAATTTTAAATCTCATTTCCACTAGTCATGTAAATTATTAACATCTCTTATGATATACCTATGTTAAATACATTGTACATTTCTTAAGCTGTCTTTTTGCCTCACTAGGTTCGGCACATCAGTCCTTCAAGTATAGCTGCAAAAGATGGTCGCATCAAAAAAGGAGACAAAGTTCTAACCATCAATGGGAAAAGTGTCAAAGGAATGTCAAATGCAGAAGTGAATAATTTTTTGAGGGATRTTCCAAAAAGAGTTGTCATCGTTGCTTCACGCCCTCGTGGACCCAGGCGGAGAAGCCTTTCACTGTCATCACTTAATCTCTTAAAAGAGAAGTTAGTTGATAAGAGTCCTATGGATGATTCAGATGCATGGCCAACCAAGGAAGATAATAACAGAAAGAGAAACATGATAAACACATCGACTAATGATTTATCTCTCTCACTTGAAAAAGTTCCTCTCGACTTAGAAATTGAAAACAACAACTCCTCCTCTTATGATCGGCTCAAGAAGAGGCTTCTTTCTGGAGGAAACAGTAAGACCCTCAAAGAGATATTAAGTAAGACAACTACTGAGCCTTTCATAAAACAGGTCATCTTGGAGAAAAATGCCTCAGGATTAGGGTTTAGCTTGGGTGGAGGGCGTGACTCTCTTTATGGAGACACACACATCTATGTCAAGTATGTTTTTAAAGACAGTGCTGCAGGAAGGGGTGGCCAACTTAAGTCTGGTGATGAAATTGTAGATGTGAATGGACAGAGTATGCATAATATGTCTAATGTAGAGGCCATAGAAACTATTCGTGCATTGCCTTATGGCACTGTGATTATGACAATCAGACGTAACTAAAAACTACATTAATCCATTGAAGCAAGCCCTGTTTACATCAAGGTAGGGTAACCCTAGTGCTATGGACAAGTCTCTGTTTTCTTTCCCAAGTGAAGACTGAAAACAAGAGTGTGGTCCCTAGCAATAGCGCTGCCATCTTGTTCATGTGCTTGATAATTATTTGAATAAGGAGTCCAGGTTTGCAATAGGAATCATCTGTTGAAACTGTCCATCCATAGCAGGCATCATGTATTCAGTTTGACAAGAATATTATTTTATGCAAGTAATACAGCCCATAATGGACATGCAGGGTAAAATTGACTTCTATTGTAATATTATTTATTTTCGTACAATTATCTATTTACCAGTACTTATTTATATTCTAACATCATAATATGCTTTGGCTGGTTTAGAGTAACAGACCTGTTGGACACACCTGCTATTTATTTACGTTTTTTCCTCATTAGCATAAACAAATTCAAGCTACAAGCAAACCGACTCCAGAAATCGAGAGAATGTCTTGCCACACCATTCAATCAAATTTTCAGTAGTTACTAAATAAGACATTCTCTTTTGATTTCTGGAGTAGGTTTGCTTGTAGTTTGAATTTTTATGCTAATGAGGAAAAAATGCAAATAAAGATTGGCCTATAGTAATATGAAGATGAGAATGCTCTTTTTTAAAGTTATACATACCAGTAACTGTACATAGTTATTTAAGTCATTCCACTTAATAAAATAACAAAGGAAACACATTCATGACTAATGTTGATGATGATTGTGTATGCATATAACTAAAGAACCAGAGAAAAAGCTGATCTATGTCAGGCACAGCTAACTCGTAGATCGAACCCTGAAACAACATCTGGGCTGATCTAAGTCAGGCACAGCTAACTCGTAGATCRAACCCTGAAACAACCTCTGGGCTGATCTAAGTCAGGCACAGCTAATTTGTAGATCGAACCCTGAAACAACCTCTGGGCTGATGTAAGTCAGAGCACAGCTTACTCACAGATCAAACCCTGAAACAACCTCTGGGCTGATGTAAGTCAGAGCNACTCACAGATCAAACCCTGAAACAACCTCTGGGCTGATGTAAGTCAGAGCACAGCTTACTCACAGATCAAACCCTGAAACAACCTCTGGGCTGATCTAAGTCAGAGCACAGCTTACTCACACATTGAACCCTGAAACAACTTCTGGGCTGATCCAAGTCAGGGTAAGCTAACTCACACATGATAACCAGAGAACCTGGAGAAAATCTATCAAACTAAAGAGACTCAACAAACTCTACTCACATGTGATGCTGAGTCCTGGAATAAGGCTTGTAACCTCAGCAGTGAGAGGCATTTCTTCAGTTGTTTGTATGTGTATAAGAACCAAACATCCACTCATTAATGTACAAATTTGCCTTGATTTATTGATTTACAAGAACCTTAGTTATTAATCTAGGAAATATCTTTAAAATCACAAACACAAAATACATACAGAGCTACTGCTTTGATTCTCTAGTTCAATGGCTTTTACTAGAACATGGATTGTATTGTAAAGGCCGGTTTTCTTTAACTGATATTTTCTTTATAGATCATATTTTCCAAGAATGCAATTTCTTTTATCACTGATTTTATTGTTACCAGCTGAATGAGGCAACAATCAAACCAGGCAAAGCACCCTCCTGGTTAACAACACAATCCATAGGTTCAATGCCTCTTGTCTAGATCCTCAAAGATTTCCTACAAAGCTACCACTGTTCCTGAGTATCTGTATCTTGTCCATCCAGTATGTTTGCTGGCATTAAGATGGAGAGGTAGGATAGCTTATGGACAATATTATGATAATTGTTATGAATATTTAATGAAAAATAAGTTTCGATTTCATTCGTTTTTACTTACTGTAGCTTGCAGTTTCTCCTTGTGCATTACCCACTACCCTAAACCCAACCATGCCTTCTTTTTAATTCGTAATGGCCAACTCACAGATACATGTTTGATTGCTTGTTTTCTGGAGTGTATGCCACAATCTTTACATGTAAATATTATACATGGGTTATCAGGGATAAGTAATAGAACCAAATGTTTTAGAAATTACTTGATAAAAGCTGCTATAACACACCACATGATGTCATTTGAATTTGGCTTCTGTGCTTCCACCTCGGGATCAATATCTAATAGTTCACGTACTCGTTTCATTGCTAGTTCGTAATCATCATCTGATAGGGCAGCAAAAGCATTTTCCAGAACATCAGAGGAATGAGCCATGTAAATGAGTGATAGACATCTCTTGTCTATCCTGTTAGGATCGTTAACCCATTTACATAAGACAGCATCTTGGACCCTTTTTACAACACGCTGCTTCATGGATGAATCTATGACTGGATGTGTTGTCATGTCAAATAACAGGAAGTTCTGCTTCTCAGTTGTTAATACTCCTTTTTCAACAAGGTTCTTTGCAAGGCGTTCACGGACGTTCCTTAACTGGAACCTTAACTTCAAAGGATTCCATGTCTCACCTGGAAAGGAATTTTTTATACCAAAAAATAAACTAAAAGTAAAGAACCCAGGTACTATAAAAAAGAAAACAAATTTCCAAGAAAAAATTGCTGCCCATTACTCCATCTTACAGTTCCGTTCAGTGACCATGAATAATAGTTCTGAGCCAAGGTTGGAGTTGACACGCATGATAAAGAGCACTGTTTTGCTATGCGTGACAACTCTATCCTTGACTTAGAACTATGATTCATGATCACTGAACAGAACTGTAAAAAGGAGTATTAGCTCAATTGGTAAGAGCATCAGTCTGTCGTGCAGGAGGGTGTGGTTCAAGACTTGGATGAACCAACACTCAAGGTCTTAAAATAACTCAGAAGGTGCTGCCTTTAACATTATAACTGAAAATGATTGGACCTTCACGAAGGATTGAATGACCATGTTAATGGCAGTCCCATCAAAGACATTAAAAGAAGACCAAGAGTTTAGCAGTCAAAATACACAGTATTATATACTATCTTTTGAGATTTTTTCAGTTTTTCACCCTCCATCAATGCAATCTTCAAATTATGATGACAATTTCCTAGGTACAGTAATGCTTTTTTGTGTGGCTTTTTTGATGATAAAATATCGTAAGTAGAATTGTAAATGGATTATTTTTTTGTAGGAACAGTTAACGAGGAAGGTGTTCAAGGTCTGTAATTGACTAAGAGGTAAATAATGTGTTTTATAGTGTCATCTAACAGATGTCATTAATGAGATGACTTTTTATACATCAAAGAAATTTGTTTTCCCTTTGATCAATCACAGTATCTTAATGGTTGCCAATGAAATACAAAGAGGTCATGAATATTCTAACCTTATTATATTGAATTAAACTTTGCCTAAAATGTAATATTGTTGGTCGAATATATGAACAAATTTTTGCTAACGAAAATTATGAAAATCTGAGTGTGAAAAGGATAATAATGAACATAAATATTTAAAGTGAAGTTAAGGTAAAGATCCCGTAACCTACCACTAAGCAGTTCAATCCAATTTTGAACGGTATCCGGGGGATCAGTCTCTTTGATGTGTCGAAGAGCTTCGTCTAACAACACATCACCAGTCGGATTTTCACTCTTAAATATCACCTTTCTGTTAAGTAAGCTTCGTCTTCGCATGCCTGTTTTCTCGAGTTCAATTCGTCCTCGCAGACCCAATTCGATCATCATACAACCTCTAAGACCCGAAGATATGCAGTCATTCCAAAACGACGTGTAGCCCTGGTTGAAAACGAAAATTCTCTTCAAATACAAGACTAAAAGCTACAATTATACTGAATATGCTATCAAATATCTATACCTCTCGGTCTTTGAGTCCGAGTAGAAGGACTTCCTCCATGAGAGTAAGTCGTACTTCTTTTTTATCTCCCGCTTCGTCGCTCTCATATCCCTCTGCTTTTTCCACATCAGGATTTGTATCGGGATCTTTATCAGAACTGGCCACAGTACGCTGGACTAGCTGCCCTGATCTCCTAGTCGCCATTCCTGGCAACTTCTAAGAAAAGCAGCTACAAAAGATAATTTCCCCCCCCTAATTATTTGATAGAAATGTTCTATAAACAAAGATGGCTGCCGATCAAGAAGAAGAAGAACGATGAAGAAAACAAGGCATCATGGGAATGATGAGTTGGCTTTCGCGGTTCGTACACAGGAAGACCGATACGGGAAAAAAAGGTAAAATGAGAAAAAATAAAATAGGATAAGGAAAAAAAATATGAAGAAAGGATGGAAGGAAGATAGTACGAAAGGAAAAAAGGAGAAAAGTTGATAAGATTGGGAAAGAATCATATAAAAAATATCGCTTAAATACTATGTTTTAGATAACATATTTGGAGGGAGGTTCTTAATACTGGGACTCAGAACCATTGCATAAAAATTTTGGAATTTGAAATGTGCTTCAAAAAATTTGAAATCAATCTTTAAAATTTAGTTCTTCAGGACACATGAAGGGAAAGAATTGGTTCAGAACATGGCGCAAGGAACATCTCTTGGAGCTTTTCCCTATTAATGTGGTATGTGTACTTCTTTTCTACTTGAGAAGTTCTCAAAACATTACCAGTTTTTTATGGGCAAACAAAATTAATATTTTTTGTATTTGTGACACGTTCAAGTTTGTTTTGATAACCCAGTTTGGTATTTGTATTACTCCCCCATTGCACCATTTCAAAATCACTAAAGTGGGACGCTTTTTGACGTTTGCGCGTTTATTGGTTGCCTGAACAAAGGCTCTGTTGACATTTCATAGCGTCAAAAGATTGACACCACTTAATGCAGTATATCTGTAATGATTGTAATTGAATCTTATTACAACATCTATCCAAGGAAAGAAAAGCAACCCTTCCTTCATCTTTCAAGAATCTTCAGGCTTCGAGCATAGCAGCAATGGATGCTGAAGATCCCGCCTTCAAAATAAATGTTGGGTAAGTTTGTTGGCATTCTTCATGCAAGCTTTCAAGTCGTTGGATCTGAAGTATTTCAAGTATAAACTACTAATAAAACCAGCAACTGATGTCGAAGTTTATCACGTCCATCTAAACTTATATCTGTTAAATCTTACTGCAATGTATAAACTGGAAACCAATTCGGCTTGATGGTTCAGCCTACTGGTTAATGAAACTGATGAAGGCATCATAAGTTATTACACTAGGCGCGTTTGACTTTCGGATATATCGTATGATTGTTCAAGTCGTTTCGAATGTTGTTGCTTTTAGGAAGGTATAAGTGATTATATCAACGGTTGAGTGGAGAGCTAGAAGTACCGGTGTTATCGGTTCAACAGTTTTCCGCACTAGTTATAAGTCTGACACGCGTAGCGCTAGTCACCAAGAAACTGATCTCAGGGTCTACTATATTTGATTATGACCTCGTTAGGATTTACGTAACTTTTCTTTACTGATCTTTGCCGTTCTACTTCTGAATTTCGGAGACTTATATAGACGCTCCGCTGTAGTCGAGTTCACAGTCTATTCAAGAGTAGGGGGTTTGGCTTTGCTACCTATGTGATTTTTTGTTGTTTCTCTAATGAGAAGACAGAAATTTTTGTTTTCCAACTGAGCTGCACTTCGGGAGATTTTCAAAGAACAAAGCCTGTGTCGTCTTGGGTTTTCTAGTGGAGTATTGAAAATTCTATTAATGATTAATGATTAATGTTTTTAAAAAAAATTAATTACCGCTGCCATATTTTAAAAGCCATGGAAAAACGACGAAAGCTTTTTAGAACTGACATAAAAAAATATATAGTAAATAAATTAGTGATCAAAAAAGCTACTTTATTTGATACTGATTAATTCCTAGCGTTTTACACTCTCAATGTAAATTTACGGAACTCAGAAAAAACAAGAAGAAAAATTGGAAGATAATTATGTGGTTTTTTTTTTGTTTGACGGACGCGCGCGGCGTTAAGCTAGAGGAGGTCTGAGGCGAGCGTGGTTGTCGTTGAAAACAAAGTACCAAGTTTTGATGGCGGAGGAGGGAGTCTCTGCAAATCTTTAACACAAACACTGATTTTTGAACTGCTTTTTATCTCCTTCACTTAATGATGGGGTAATTTATTGCTAGGGCAATGAAATTTTATTACCTTAAGTAGCATTAGACATGGTTCTTGTCTGATTTTACCCGTTGTTTTTACCAGGGAATCACCGGTTTATTCGTGCAAGGCTCATGTCTTTCAAATCGACCCCAACACCAAGAAGAGCTGGATTCCTTGCTCTAAACAAGCAGTTACCGTATCATTTTACTATGACAAGACCAAGGAAACTCATCGAATCATATCCGTGGATGGTAGCAAGGTATGCTGATCGTTTTGTACTAAGTTTTATTGAGATATTTTCTAGTTTTCCTAAAGAAAACTGTCTTTCTACGTGTTCTTTTGCATGACGTCGGTGAAATAATTCCCCTGTGTAAACACAATGTGTACCGATGGTACATATTACTGAACAAAACGAATACAAGCAAGGCTTTTATGTAATTTTCTCTATTTGTATCTTAACTGTGCCGCAATTCTCAGTTTTTGGCGTTTTCTAACACGATATAATGTGTCTACTATATTTATTACATGTCATTTTGACGGGATATCGAAGAGTTTTAGAAAGAAAAATCCTTAGAACAGTTGTGTTTTTACCAAAGATTTGTCACTGTATTTGTACCTAAATGGTAAGAACTTCACAGCAATATGCTTATTTTTGACGCTTTTCCGTTCAAGACGTAATTCAATATGAAGGAAATTAATAAATCCACCTTCAAAGAGATAAAGTTAACTTCATTTATTTTCTTGATGGAATTTAACTCATTAGCAAAGAAACTACAGATGTTTTTTTCTTTTCCATTCGTCCTACCGTATTCCTATTAATATAACGTTTGATGGCAATAAGAAACCAAAAATGTATTCAGAAAGTGATTAACATTAATAAATAATACAATGGCAAATTTTATACAAACAAATCAAGGAGTTAGAATCCGAATTAACTTGAGACAGACTAGGCTCATTACTCAAAAATAGACATAATTTTGAAGACATTTGAAAAAACCCTGAGCAAATCAAGTAGCATAGCAATCCATAGCAATCCATAGCAAAACGACGAACCGAGGGTGTAATTGGGTATTATTCCTGGTTAGACAAGAGGAACTAAATTCCAAGAGATGTTTTAACTCATGCTTATCACTACAGCTATTCAACTTGTCCTATTCTAAAAACACTGCACAGTTATATTATTTGTGTACACGTTACTGTCAAACAACAGTCAAGGAAATGAGAACGAGGATATGTAAAATAGGAATGACTAATATACCCATTGGCTAGTGTTTGTACAACATGTTGTTATGTTTGGTGTTGGTCACTTATAGAACCTATTGAAATAGGTTAATCTCTATTATATGCAAAATTATCCAGTGCTGTTATAACAATTATTTTACTAATATAAGTCAAGTATTCACTAAAGTATAAATACCAACCTATAAATACTTTATATTACATGTTCTAGATTATTCTCTGGTTTGCTTAATTCATTAATAAATAAAAGAAAATCACTGCTTTTATCATTTCTCGTCTTCATTTTATTATGATTTATTAGAAAAAGTTTTGGTAAAATCATCATTTTTTTTGACTTGATTTTCTTGTTACGGATATCTTAATTCTCAATCGCCATCATTTTTTCAGGCCATCATCAATAGTACAATATTTCCTAACATGAATTTCACCAAGACATCCCAGAAGTTTGGTCAGTGGTCTGATCCTAAAGTAAACAGTGTTTTTGGATTAGGATTCCCTACAGAGGCTGAGCTGAATAAGGTCAGTGTTTAACGGAACATAGCTACTCGATGGACTCTCAATGTCATTGAACCATGAAAGAGTTTCTGGGCTATTTTCAAGAAAGGCATGTGATGTGACCCCAGTTATGAGTGTAATACCAATACACTAACCTTACATTCCAAACATACTACAAAGCAGAAATATTATTTAGTTGTATGCCTTGCAAATGTTCTCATTGTGATTATTCCTGGTTAACCTCCCAGTTTGCCGAGATGTTCAAAGAAGCAAGAAGTTCCAGCACATCTCTTGCTAACACCAGTCGGCCTTCCAGTGGGTCGTCATCACCCCAAACCACAGGTACCTCTACCCAGAACAACCTAGCAACTGTGAGTGGGGTGAGAGATTCACCCACCCCTCAACAAGGAACTCAAACCTCTTCAGTAAGAAGTGGCTCATCCACCAGTAGCATTGAGGTGTGTTCAATTTATAAGATGAATTATATTTAAATGATTCATGGATTCTATTTTTGTATGTTATTGTATACCTTACCAACCACTTACCCATGCTTTACCAACCACTTACCTACCACTTACCAACACTAAAGCAACCACTTACCAACACCATAGCAACCACTTACCCACACTTTACCAACCACTTACCTAGCACTTGCCAACATCAAAGAAACCACTTACCCACGCTTTACCAACCACTTACCAACACCATAGCAACCACTTACCAACCACTTACCCACACTTTATCAACCACTTACCTATCACTTACCAACACCATAGCAACCACTTACCAATACCTTACCAACCATTTAACGATACCTTAGCAACCACTTAACAACACCTTAGCAACTACTTACCTACACCTTAGCAACCACTTACCTACACCTTACCAACCACTTACTCACACCCTATCAATCACTTACCTACACATTACCATATTTTATAGTTTTATCACAATAGCTGAATAATACTGTAAAGTTTATAACATTCTTTACATTTAGGATTTTGCTCCTTGTTTTGTCGTTTGGTTTCACTGACTCACAGGCACAGAACCAAATCACATTGATTCTATCTCTTTACGATTGAAACACCATTCTTGTCCTATTGATATTAATTCAAAAAATTTGTACAAAGAAGTAAAGAATACAAGTGTTATGTTTAATCCATTTTAAAGTTCTTCTTTTTCACAGCGATTTTTTCCAAGTAATAGTTATAACAATAGAAATAAATACTTGACTTAATCCTCCTAATCCTAGTGCTTTTCCCTATTGTATAACCAACTGTATTAAACTGCTCCAAACAATGAGTATGCTATCTAAGTGTTTACATAACTCATCCCTGATTGGTCTGACTGATAGTCATTTACTGCTTGACTGCTGGCCAATATATATCATGATTAACATAAGATATTACCATTATCTACTAACTGGGTTTGATTTGTTCTCCTCTGTCACTGATTTCAGCATGTGATTATCTTTTCATGGCTTTGTTGCAGTGCCTGGATACCTAGCATTGCATCTACCCCTTAGATTAACAGCCTTACTTGATTCTGTGTTGGGAATGCTACTTAACACTCTTGATCATGTTTCAGTTTGAAAAGCAGAGAAGTGTAGATGCTGATTCTAATCATGAAAGTGCATCTAGGAAGATATCTCTTCCTCCTTCATTTAAATTAACATTAGATAAAGTAAGCTAACCTATTGCTATAACACTTCCTAACAATTGTTTTTGTTGGCTTTAATTTTATTCTCTTTGTCCTTTTACTTTATGCCTGTAAAGTACCTGATATAATTGGATATTGTCATATGTGCAGTGAACTTAATTTTCTATATCTTTGGCTCTAATTCTACATTATCTAAATATTTCTTTTTATAAGCTCTCAATATTTCATGTGAATGTAATATGGTTATCATTGTTGTTGTTGTTGTTTTGTGTGTGTGTTGCGTACTAGCATATAAGTGTGATGCATGCAAAATACATATTGCATTGATAGTATGCTTCAAGAAATACATATTATTTTTAAGGATGAGAGTAGAGAATCTCCTGGAATCAGCCACAAACCAGTTGGTAATACTGAAGCACATCTCAAGTATGAAAACGACAGGCTCAAAATGGCTTTGGCACAAAGGTATCTTTCTCACTCAAATCAAGAGAATTTTATTTCGTTTTGAGATTAAACAGTGGCGGATCCAAGGGAGGGGTGCAGGAGGTGAGCACCCCTGGTTCAACTCTGTGCCCCAACTTGGAAGATACCCAATGCAAAATAATGTCTTTTCCCTTTGATTCTAAGGGGTGCACCCCTCCCTGGGTTAACTTTGTGCAGTGAACCCCCCCTTAACAAATTCCTGGATCCACCCCTGGAACTAGTAAGACTATCTCCCTGTTTTATGCTGTAAAAGTAATATTTGTCTAGTACATCTCTGTGTCATTTAATGAAGAATCTAATGGTTCATGATTTTTCTACTAGTTCTACCAATGCTAAGAAATGGGAAACTGAACTACAGACATTAAAGAACAACAATGCAAGACTGACAGCTGCCCTGCAAGAGAGTACAGCTAATGTAGAAGAATGGAAGAAACAATTGAATGCTTATAAAGAAGAGAGTATTAGACTAAGAAAAAAGGTAAGTCATCATGTACTTATGTTGTCATATAGAAAAAACGCTTCTCACTTATGACCATTAATATTATCTTCATAATAGGTACAAGAATCCGAGTCATCCAACCTGAATGCTGATGTGTTCAATAATGTACAACAAGAAAAAATGGCACTAGAAGGTAGAATTATCCACTTGGAGAGTGTAAATAAGGAGAAGGAAGAGGTAAGATCCTTTGGAAGTATTATGATATGAGTATGAAATCCTGAACCCTGTATGGATATATGCCATGCCATGATTATGATGGTGCAGTGTTGAAGCATTTTGCTTGCCGTGATTGGTTTAAAAAATGTTGGCACTGCCAAACCATATGCCATGCTAGTCAGAACTGAATCTACTGTCAGTTAAATGAGTAACAAGCTAAGCATACTGTATATAAGGAAGGATAAAGAGTATGTCTTGGTCATACATTTCCTAATCTCTTGATGCCTTTCATTTCATTAGGAGGTAACAGCACTGAAACACACAAATAATGAATTAAAAAACCAAGTCAAGGTTAGTGAAGTGATAATAGACTCATTCTGCATTTGGTTCCCTGCTTTTTCTCACAGTCCACATGCAGTACAAATATATTATTAGTTTTTGGATGGGTAATTGTAAGACGTGTAATATAATGGATTATTAATGTCATGGTCCATTCCTAGGTGTGCAGGGGTGAAAATGAAGAACTTCAACAAAAAGTGAAGGAATTAGAAGACAAATTGAGAGAATCATCCATTAATGCATCCAAAGCCGATGAACTGACATCCTTACATCAAGCAATTCAAGCCAAACTAAATGAGTTGAATACGCTGAATCAGAGAATACCCAGTATTGTGCAGAATTAAAAGATTATGAGAGAAAAGAAATATGCTACATGTCAAAATACCATTAACATAGCCCATGTGTTATATTGTTTGGATGACAAGTAATTGATAGGGTAATAATATATAGATACTATGAACATTGGTGCATTTAGGTGTTTATAACACCATACTGCATTACTATCACTAACACTCTTTGACAATCAGACCAGGGGAGGATCAAGGATTTTGTTCAGGGAGGGGTGCTGCACACAAAGTTAACCCATGGAGGGGTGCACCCCTTAGAATTGAAGGTAAAAAAAGTATTGGTTTTCTTCGAAGTAGGGGCATAAGGTGGAACCAAGGAGGGGTGCGCACCCCCTGCATCCCTCCCCTGGATCCGCCCCTGCAGCCTCGTGCCCCATAGCCTAATTCATAGAAGACGGGGGGACTGTAGGTATTTTGGATCATGTGTTTTGGTATTGCTCTTAATTTATGTCAGTAGTGAGTAAGTGTTACACTGACTGTTACATTATTACTGTTTATTAATAATTTGCAGATTTTAGGTGGACTTCTTTTGCCAGTGAGATTTTAATTACTAGTTATCAATGACAACCTGTTTTTGTTTGGAAGTGAAATGAGTTTTACTAGAATTCAGTTATACCTGAATGTATATAGCAAGCCAAATGTAGCAATATTTCAATGGATATTCAAGGTCAATTCAAAGGTAATTTAATATCAATGAATATCCATTGAATTGACATCGAAGTACTATTAACCATAAATATATTGAATCATGACCTAGTAAACAATATTAGATTTATATGAAATAAATGTGTGTACAATATATCTTTATTTTTATTTGATATCCCATTTTTTAAAGATTTTATCATTATGCTTTGACTTCTACTCAAGGATCTACACTTTGATTCAAAGAAAAGTATAAAAATATTTGCTAAAAACTTAAAAACAGATTCTACAAACTGGCAGTTGTTTTTATGATACTTACGGCACAGACCTGATGTGACATGTTAGAATAGTGATGTATCTTACCATGGTTTTTGTATGATTCAAAGGAATTGTACTCGTACTAGGTTGAGTAGTTAAACTATAGTCTTCCTGTGTGCATATTAACAGCATGTATTTAATCATCAAGCTACACTTAGTATTCAAAGTCCTTGTTCTTCCAAGGGCTGGTAACTCACATCATAATATTGACAACTGTTATAATTCCTATGAAACAAAGCTGACATCGGAGGAAGCACTTGCTCTTAGCTCCATGCTTGTAGGTCCATGATCATGAAGCTGCTGTAAGATCCTTTCTTCCAGGTGAAAACCCATCAGATCCTTCCTAGTAATGATACCTTTAACCCTACAGCATGCAGAGAGAGCAGTGTGAGATGACTTATAACCCCATAGATTCACATAGTGTTAAATGATTACCTGTTACTCTTGCTAACTACAACCAAATGTCTGCAAGAAAAAAAAAATTAAAACTATCTTGAAAAAATGGCTATTTAGTGTGATGTCACAAAAGAAAACCTCATTTATAGTTTCTTAGACTGTGTGCAGTACCAGAGTTCATAGAACTGATCATTTGCAATGTGCAAGGGTTAATGCAATCGGTACCATGCAATCTAATGTTACATGGTATTAGGGAAGCATGGCTGTCATAGTGGTGAGAGCGCTCGCCTCACACCAAAGTGACCCTGGTTTAAGTCCTGCTGGGTCCAGTGTCGTATGCGAGTAGAGTTTTTGTTTCTCTACATTGTTTCAAGGGATTTTCCTCCAGGTTCTCCGTTTTCTCCCCTCCCTATTCAAAAATCAACTTCTAAATTCTAAATTCTTATCAAGTGGATGGCAAAACCTGATAGGCTTTCCATCCACTATGGAGTGGTAAATCCGATCATAATATTTTTTAGATTCACACGCATTAAGGACTAGGATGTGTTAAGGGATGTGAAGCAAACAAGCGTCCAAGCAAGACATTGTTACCTAAGACCCAGAGTCCTGAAGATAATATAGGTACGATGAAGAGAAAAGCTTTCTTGTACAGATGGTGCAGAGTCATTGATGTACGGAGACTGTTGAGGAAACATTAACATATAACAAGATTAGTATAAAGAGAGGAACAACGGAAATTGCCAAAACCAGGTCAGACCAATTTACCAAGTCTATGAAGAGATCATCGTATCGTGGGTCTTGTTCGTAGCGAAGTAACGTCTCATTCAGTTGTAGAGCGTGAGGAATGTAACCTTTGTTCATCTGTGAGTTCAAAACAAAATACACTCATAAAATTCTTTTCGTGCCGTGCTGTGACCGTGTTGGTACTCGAGTATTTTCATTGGTGTGCGCTTTTAATTCAACTTACCAGATAATAATCTATGCCACTAAAATCCATTTCTTCCTGGTTCACTAACAAGTTCTCTCGTGATGAAAAGATGTCTTCACGTGACAGTAAGATGCTTATATCGTTTCTACGGTTTGAATTATAAAATACTAAAGATTATGATTAATGCACAGCTTGCTTTGCTCCAGTATTAACGTACCTTGATATCATTCCTACAAACACTAATCCATCATAATCATCCTTCTGTACCACAGGGTACCCGCCATGAGGAGTTTCCAACAGAAGACGCGACAAATGCCTAACACTCTCTACTTTGTTTACAACCTATGAATCAAAGATAAGTTCAGTTGGAAACTTTATACAATAGATCTACGATATGACAATGAAGGTACTTACAATAGCCGGCTTTGTCATGGCGTGAGAAGCACGGTACAGCTCCAGATTGATGCTAAAGTAAGACAAATGACGGTTATCCACAGTGTTTATACTACATGACACAGACATACATATGGTATATCATTGGTACCTTGTTGATCCTTCGTGGATTATGATTGGCTCAGAATCTAGGAAAGGAATGCATTTCAACTCCAGCAGAGCGTGATACAAGGGATGCGTAGTGAAGTCACCAACCCACTTGGCAACCATGATAGCAACCATGATGGGAAGAAGAAATTGAATATCATTTGTTATCTCCATCTGCCGAGAAGAAAAACAAACAATGACATGACTGATTGTCCTCCTATTGCTAATGAGATCTATCAAACACCCATGTAGAGGAGTAAAGTGTGCACAGCAGTAATCCTGCATTTCAGGATCCAAATGGAGACGAAGTTTGTTGCACTAAAATATTTACTCGTATCAAAGCTAATGCTTTCTTTTCGGCCTCTACTAGTTTGACATGCATAGCTACACGTATATACCATGATGACTGTAAGAGACATGGTCAGCCTTGACACTCCACCAAAAAATGAGGCAGCACCAATCAGTGCAAAGGCACCAGGGTCCATCCACGCCCAGTATCCTGTAAACAACACAGTATTGATTACTTTACTTAAAAAAGAAAACTGCTGTTTCCGTGCTCTGTTCAAAGATAGCTCACACTTCTCAACCAATCAATGCACACATAGCTAGGTGCATAATTGTATTATAATGGTAGTGGAAAACGTCGCGGTTTAAAGTACAAGACAGTCTCTATTTTTACGAATGATCTCTTGTGTTCTTTTTATGATAGTTACCTGAGGTGTGTACTCCAAACAGATCTACCATGGCCCGACCGATGATGCGACCATATACACCACCAATAAACCTAAAAACAACACAAGCTGTGTGAGTGATGTACCGTAACATGCAGCAGATGAAGGTTATAAGTACTTACAGCATAGGGACTACCAGACCACTAGACACTGCACTACCCGCAGACTAACCGTACAAGCTGTGTGAGTGATGTACCGTAACATGCAGCAGATGAAGGT